ATTGAGAAGAAACACGCGTAAAATCGGGATTGTAAACAGACCCAAAACAACATCTATAAAACCCCTCTGGGATTTCAAGTATTTCCTTGCCATTATTCATATTTAATTATCATGCGGCCGTTGTCGTTCTTGACCTGAATCATGCATAAACTCCCCATTGTTCGGTTTATCTAAAAATGTTCAATTGCTTAATACTCACGTTTTATTATGAACAGGTTTTGTCGTCGTTTCAAATGGCTTGACCCGCTTAATCGCTACCTGCAATAAAACCAAAGAAATGCTTGTTATAGACAGCGATTTCAAGGATTTACCTTCGATGAAGGAAGCTCAAATATCGGGAGAAAACTTGCGGTGGTTATTTAGTTGAGAGAACGCATGATGCCTGATCAAGCGTTTTAAGTTTTCCCATCTTATTTTGAATAAAATGGACCCAAAATTACCTGTTCATTTCAGCAACAAGTGTTGAAGAGCAGCTTTGAACTTGCTGTCTCCTGAAATGCGAGTCATTTCGGGGAATTTTAGCAATGGGTTTTCTTTTCCAGCTCATTTCTATATTCGGTTTGGTTTTAGCTTTTAAACTCCACCTGGAAGAACAAAAGGCAATGTTAGTTAACTGGTTTGGTCTTTAGAACTCAATTCAAAGGTAATTGCTTGCAATTGGAGCAAAGGTTAGCGGCTCACACAAGATTTAGCGTATATTACCTTTCTCATATAATCAACAAGTCCCAAGAAAAGGCGTAGACGTGCTTTTTCTTCAATGGCGAGTTATCTTCAGTCAAATGCGAGTCGTCTCGGGCAATTTCAGCTACGGTAACGGACTTCATGCCCACTTCACTTCATTCAGTTTGGTTTTAAGCTCTCAAACCCCACCTGGAAGAATAAAAGGCACAATTAGTTCACTGCTGAGGTGTTCAGAACTCAATTCAAACGTAATTTGCGTGAGGTTAAAGGGAAGGTTAGCGGCTCAACGGTAAGATTTAGCGTATATTACCTTTCTCATATCATCAATAAAGTCCCCAGAAAAAGCCTAGACGTGCTTTCTCTTCAAAGGCGAGTTATCTTGAGCCAGTTCAGACGTCATTCATCGGTAGTCAATCTCTTGTTCACAAATTTTATCGCTTTAATTCGTCAAAATTCTGCATGAAAAGAATAAAAGCAACGTTAGTGTTATACAAGTTTGTAATTAAAGCGGAACACAACAGGAACACTACGAGAGAGGCATTACAAGACGTGAACTAAAGACACGTGGAACCTCGGCTCAAAAGCTCACGATGAAACAAGCTGATAAAACACGCAAAGGGAAAGGCATATTACCTGGTATTACACCAACGACAGTCTGTCAGAGATAGTAAACTTCTATTAAACTTCTCTTCTGCTGAACTGAAGACGATAGCAATCTGATAGCAATTTCTGTTGAAATATTCTTGGCGTGGAGGAGACTCATCTTTATTCTTCGAAGACCAGCGTTGAAATGATGTCTCAAACTGGAATCAAAAGCACATATTCATTTCACCCGCTCCTCGTGTCTGCAAAATAAAGTCATCCTATTGGATGAACACTCCCGACCTGACAGCTCAACAACGCTTTTGATTGGACGTTCATAGTAATTTAAATAATATGATTAATTCTCTTCTTCTGACCCTGAACATCAGAAATGAAAGGAAAGAATTAATCATATTATTCAAATTACTATGCTCGTCCAATCAGAAGCAATGTTGAGCTGTCAGGCCGGGAGTGTTCAGTCAATGGGATAACAATAGGACGCAACACGAGGAGCGGGTGAAATAAATATCTAGCTTTGATTCAACGTTGCCACATCCAGGGTTTCCACAATGCAAGGAAATTTCCTTGCAATTGACAACCACAAGGGAGGGAGGGATCTGTGTTAATAGGATATATTATGCATAATAATTCTTTTCAAAAGTTCTTTGTTTCTCTTTTTTGTCATTGCTATCCACCTATGAGAACAGCCATATGCAAATAAGTTGTGGAAACCCTGGCCACATCACAACATGGATAACACGGAACCGGAGTTTCGGAGCCGGAGTCCCGGAGTCAAAATTACGGAGTCTGACGTAATAATATTGAAAAACACGGAGTCAAAAATTGTGGAAAACACGTAGTGTTGAAAAACGCTACAGGCGTCCTTAGTCACCCTTGGAAACACTGTTTGGGAAAGTCACGATCATGCCAATTTATCGAAAATAATTAACCCAAAGGAATCACAATTCAATTTTGAAAAGATATCTGCCCACGACTTAGTTAACATTTTGAGGCAACTAAAACGATCCAAAGCTGCGGGTTATGATAATATCCCAACATCAATGATTAAGGACTGTGCTGAAGAAATTGCAGTTCCTTTAACCTATCTTATAAATTCGTGCTTAGAAGAATCTGTCTTTCCTCAAGCTGAAAAATGTGCAAAAATTACTCCAGTTTTTAAATCAGGTAACCGATCTTCCATGGACAACTACAGGCCCATATCGGTTCTTCCAGTCTTATCTAAGGTGTTCGAAAGAGTTGTTCAAAATCAATTGTACCAATACCTTGAGAAGAATTCACTCTTATCTAAAAACCAATTCGCTTTTAGAAGAAATAGGTCAACACAACATCCTGTGACTTATTTTTCGGACTACATCAGAAAACATATGGATCAGGGCGAGTTAACCGGGGCAGTATTTATCGACCTAAAAAAAGCTTTCGATACAATAGATCATGGGCGTCTTCTTTCAAAACTTCCATGCTATGGTATCAGTGGAAGAGAGCTTATATGGTTTGAAAACTACTTGTTTAAAAGGGAACAATTTGTTTCGTATGATTCGGCAAGCTCTGTAAGACAAACAGTTCTTACTGGTGTCCCACAAGGGTCAGTGCTTGGCCCTCTGCTCTTTGTGTTACTTATCAACGATATCGACATGCAATTACAGAGCTGCAAAATCCTTCTTTACGCTGATGATACGGTAATTTTCACATCCAATAAATCGTGTGAAACTATTCAATCAAATCTAAATGCAGATCTTACCAAACTTACTTACTGGTTTTCGGTCAATAAGCTCGTTGTAAACCTCAAGAAAGGAAAAACCGAATTTGTGTTGTTTGGAACAAATAAAAAGTTAAGTAAATCAACACAAGTTGAAGTAATGATGAATGGAACCAGCGTAAATGAAGTCGATTCGTATGACTACTTGGGTGTCCTATTGGACAAGTCTTTAAATTACAATAAACACATTCACAGAATTATTAAAAAAGCCTCAGGGAGAGTCAAGCTCTTGTCACGCATTCGACAAAATATTAGCCCATATGTTGCTGAGATGATTTATAAAGTGATGATAGAACCAACCATTTGTTATTGCAGCAATCTGTTTCTTAGTATATCTAACACTGCAAATTCCCGGATTCAACAAATTCAAGATCGTGCTTTTAAAATCGTTCACAGGAAAAATGAAACCGTAAACCGCTGGTGCTCTATAAGAAATGTGATGAAACAACATTGTGTACAAGAAGTCTTTAAAAGTTTAAATGGTCTCGCACCTGAGGTCTTTAACGGCACCTTTGAAAAAATTTCCCATCAAAAGGAAACAAGAGGGAACAATTCAAAATTGCGATTACCAAAAGTAAAAACTGAATCTGGACGAAAAATGTTTTCATTTCAAGGTGCTCTAGTTTTTAATGACTTACCGGAAGAACTAAGGAATGAGATATCTATTTTAAATTTTAGGCAGAAATGTAAATCGTTTTTTATGGATTCGTAGGATATTAAACAACCACGTCTATAATTGATAAGGACTTTTCTAATATCTACTTTATAAACTCTATTTAGACAATATATTAATATTTTATAATTTTATTATAGTTTTTTAATACTTAGTTTAACAGGTCCTTGAATGATAGCAGCTATACTCTGGTTAGCTGATCAAGTAAACCTGTATAAATATTGTATATTATTATTATTAGTCTGCCAAAAACATGGAAAACGCGGAGTATAAATGTTTGGAAAACACGGAGTCAACGTAAATTATACATATATTCATATATTGTTGTAGCTAACTACATTACGTGTCCTTATATCACCTTAAATCACACCAAAACTGCCAAATCCAATTTCCTTTTTGTCTACAATATCCTCCCATTTAAATTGAGGAATATTATTTATGTTTAAGGATAAGTTTTTTTGTCATTTATTTACCATTTGCGGAATAGCAAAAACGTTACGCGAATTTAACGCCATGTTGTTTAAAACACGCTATCAAATTTGCATAATTCACGTTGAGTCATTGACCACTGAGCTTGGCAGACTTCCAAACATTTATACTCCGTGTTTTCCATATTTTTAACAGACTTCGTGTTTTCCATAATTTTTGACTCCGTGTTTCCCATATTTTTAACAGACTCCGTGTTTTCCATAATTTGTGGCTCCGTGTTTTCCATATTTTTAACAGACTCCGTGTTTGCCATAATTTGTGACTCCGTGTTTTCCAATATTATTACGTCAGACTCCGTAATTTTGACTCCGGGACTCCAACTCCGAAACTCCGGCTCCGGAACTCCGACTCCGTGTTATCCATGTTACCAGGTATAAACAACATAACAAGAGTATCCCAATTCCGTGAATAACCCGTCTCTAGTATATATCGGGCCATTATCAAAGCGCAGGTTGTTTGGTGCGTATATCCACGATCTCAAAGACTCAGAACCATACAGGGTATGCTTCGCCTTGTTTCAGGAAAAGCAGCAAATGCAGGAGAAGAAAGTCCGGCACAGGGGCGCTTGAAGCAGTTTAGGCCCTAGGGCTGTTGCTCCTATTAAACAATGTGAGGGTTCTTTGATGCGAAAATTGCCCAAATGCAATGTTTCGATTTTTTTTCACTCCAGTTCATGTTCATTTAAACGCGTGGCGAACGTAAGTTAAAAAAAGATATTCAAAATGTAAACAAATCGTTTGTTTACATACGTCATGACTTCCTCTCTAATTGAAGTTGTTATGGCAACTAGCGAAGAACCATAACAACCTTTGTCAAACAGAAATGGTTTGTTTATTTTTCCAGCGATCAAACGATTTTCGCACAGAAATGTAGCCCAACTTTTCAGTTTTGGTTGACAACACAACAAATTTGAAATATGTTGTCCCCGAAAGGCAAACGAACATCAAACTTAGATGTAATGGCAAATATGGCAGCCTCCAGAGCGGCGGCTACTTACTTCGACAAGATTGAAAGATATGAACTGCAAGAAACTTTGGCGCATTCGTCTTATGATTGCCTGTTATCGACCGAGGACACTAAAATACCTGTAGAAATGCCTAAAGGTTTGATAAGTAATATGAATATTGCTTCGGACTCAGACAAATGTCTATTTTTATTGCCAGCGGAAGAAGGCATTGATAGCCTAGAACTGAGAGAAGTTCACCAGATCGTTAGAGAATTAGTAACAGGTATTTATGTCCTTAATCAAACACCTTCAGTGCATTTAGAGGCTAATTATGATGATAGCACAGCATGTCACCTACCTCCTGCCTACTGTGATACTAGAGTTGGTCAACTCCTTATTGAAGTTGACTATTTGATGAAAAGTTTATGGCATGGAGCTTATTTTCCAAAGGATAAACGCACCAAGTTTGCCGAACGTTGGAGACATTTGGTGAATTTAAACTCGCATACAGGAGTCCCAGAAACAAAGCGGAACATTGAACTGATTTGGATGGAAGCAGGGTTTATGGACATGTCTAAGGATCCAAATTATTCCGCTTCTTTTAAAAACATTCCAGACATGGCAAGTAATGATGATTTACAGGTTCAAGAACAGATGCATGTTTTTACTAAACACATTGAAGAGCTGTCAATGATCATGACATTTCATCAAAAAAGTATCAAACATCATGACAGCATGTTTCTTATTGATGCTGATTACCACATAAGTAGTGCTGTCAAATCTGATAGTATTGACCTGAAATCTGCTGAGAGATTACAAAAATATCTTTCAAAACATGAGAAATTCATTCAGGAAACTTTGCCAATCAAGCCAGAAGTGCGACGCCAACTTCTTTTGCTGAAGTTAATAAGTTTTCTTGTGCCATTTTTTGTTGCACTACGGAAACGTTGCAAAATCATCAACATTAATAAACTACTACCAGGGTTCACTTTTGAAGAATGTAAAACTGAGAGAGAGTTTCCACCTTTGGTGATATCAAAGAATAACAAATGGAAACATTTTGTGACTGATGATTCATATAGCCATCTTCATGGTGGTATCTTAATTGACAGGAAAACTGCACCAGTTTCAGAACTTCAACATGATTTGGCACAACATTATGATGAGATTTGCAATGAAGCACTGTCGAAATTTAACAAAATCATTGATGCCAAATCACCAATGTTGGAGAAATACCCGTTATCAACTGTTACCATTTATGGAACAGAGTATTATGCAATTGCATTTTACTTGGAGACATTTTATCCAGTTTCTCCTAAACAACCACTCTGGGTTCATGCTCATTATGAAGAGATAAATAAGCTGAAGAGTAAGAAGCTGCCAATTCAAGAGTACCTTATTTATGAACTTTTCAAGAAGAGGTTTGGTACTCAACAAACAATGAATCTCAAGCACCATTTTGCTGGTCTCCAGGCAGCATGTCAACGGGGAATGGTGGGTGTAGCATATAGTCTAGGAAGGAGGCTCCCTGCATCAAGGTTATCCATGCAGGATGTAAGTGGTTTGTCACTGATTCATTATGCTGCCATGTACAATTGGCCACAAGTTATTACACTGCTGGTTGTAAATGGTTGTGATATCAATGCAAGAAGGTTTAATAGCATCCCATCACAACAGGGTGTAGCTCCTCTCCATCTTGCGGCAAAGTGTGGTGCACTTGACAGCTTATCATGCCTCCTTGGTTACAAGGCTGATGCTTTGCTGTATGATATCCAGGGTTGGTGTCCTGTACACTATGCTAGTTATTTCAACCATCGAAGCTGCCTTGAACACCTAGTATGTAGGAACAGGGACATGTTGGAACTTAAGGCAAAAAGTGGTAAGAATGAAACCCCAATTTTACTGGCTGCCTCGAGTGGTGCTCTAGATGCTGTGAAATGCTTACTTTATCTTGGTGCAAATACACAAGCAGAGGATACAGAGGGAAATAACATGGTTCACATTGCAGCATTACGTTTGCATACAAACATCCTTGAATTCTTTATTGGAAAGGAAGCATCAACTCCAGAAATGTCTGTTTGGAGAATTCTTGTTGATATGTTGAAGTCAGGCATTGCTAAACGACAGTTAAATGCAGCCAAAGCACTCAATGTTTTGTCTGTTGTCAAGGAAGGTAAAATTATAAATAATGTATTTTCAATAATAATTCAGTAAAATATACTATATATATACACTATATATGCTGAATTCTAGTACTAGCTAGCTAGTTTAAAGCACAGTTAATAGAGTTTAAAGCAAGCGAGACACTATGCAGATTGAGGTGTAGCCCAGCCAGAGGATTTAGTCCCAGCTGAGCCTTGTTCTCCAATCTTCATTGATCACAAAATTCTTATCCTCACGATCTGCTCCAATTGAAACCACCTCATCAGGTACCTAATGTAACCTAATGTAATTTTAATTACCCAATGTGCACTTTATAGAATATTGGAAAGATGTTTTAGAAGCAAACGGTGTTCCCGCCTTAGTTGCCCTACTTGATACCAAACATGAAGTAATTCAAGCCACAGCAGCATCAGTACTCTGTAATATTGGTGAGATCGAGGAGATCCGTAGGGCAATGTGTAAAGCAAATGCTGTACCAATCTTAGTTACACTTCTTCAATCTTCGATGCCAATCATTCATTCCCGAGCTGCGGTCATTCTTGCTGATGTCTCGTGCGTAGGCAATACCATGGAAAGTGTTGACCAAGGTAAGAAGATCTGTTTTGTTTTCTTTTGTTTTTTTTTTGTCAATCTCGTTATCACAGTTTAACGAAATACGCTAAGTCACTAACGTGATAAAACAGCAAACCGAGTCACAGAGTCAGCTCGCTCCCAGTCACCCAGGGTGATAGAGTTACTGGAGTTCACAGCTCTCTTCTTCACTGCTTGCGTTAGCTAGTTAGTGCCCTGAATCGCGCGGACATGCAAGTGAGGCAACAGGCTTAATTAAAAGTCTAATGGCTAATGTTGAATGCTAAATTTTCTTATGAATTTAGCGGGACTACGATGTTTGATCGCGTTACTCAAGTCAGACGTGGAACACGTTCTTGTGAATGTTGTTAACTGCATTCGTGTATTATGTGAAAGTTATCAAGTCATTCAAGAAACGTTTGCTCATATTGAGGATGCCTTGGTCACACTTGTTGAGCTGCTTGGTACGTCGTTGTACAGTTTCCGTACAATAGGACAGAGTATACTGATAAGTGTACTCATAAAATATTCTTTCGTGTTTTAGAAACGAACTCCAAACGCCTTCAGGCTAACACTGCCTCTGCTCTTAGTGCGATTGCCCGAGACAGTCGCATCAACCAGGATCTTATTTCATCGATACCCGGTGCAGTAAAAGGTCTAGTTGAATTGGTAAACTCCAAGAATTCTGTATGTCAGGTGAAAGCAGCGAGCGCCATTGAATCTATGGCTCAAAGCAATTTTAATGTTCAGAGATTGGTAGAAGATGCTGGAGCCGTTAGACCTCTTATAAGGTTGCTCAAAATATGGTCCATCGAGGTCAAAGAACAAGGTACACAAGGTTTCCATTATTCCATAAGTAACATTTTAAAATCAGTTCCCGCTGCGTTTCACAATTTCTCAATTATTTTACTGTAGGAGCTAGTGCACTGTGGGCGCTTGCTGGCGATACGTTATTGCGACAAAAGCATATTGCTGAAATGATAGGAATCAATATTCTCGTGGACATGTTGATGTTGAAGTCTGAAAAACTTCAGTTTATCTCAGGAATGGCGATCATCGCATTAGCAAAAGAAAACTTTCCAAACCAAAGACTCGTTGTTAAAGGTGGTGGGATTCCTCCACTTGTTCGTCTCCTACGAGCCACGTCCACTCCACCTAAGGTAGGGAAACGGTTGATGGAAGGGTGGCTCTGATTGGGTAGTGCAAGTAAAGTATTATTACTCTAACTATCCGTTTACTCGAATGTCCTACTGTAAACTGAGCCTCACTGCATGGGCCTGCAATAGAATTAGCATTATTGCTTGATCTTTACTGAACAACTTCTAGATTCTGTTAATGGTTGTTGAAGTTCTTGGTACTCTTTGTGTTGGAGTTGCGCATCAATCTCATCAAGTCATTCAGATGGAAATAGCGAATGCCGATGCTCTGCCAACGTTGGTTAATCTAATGCGGAATTGTAAGGATTCTCTGTTGCAGGTACGTTTATATGAAGCACGTTCAAAATTACATCAACCAAACTGCAAAACTGTGGAAGTTTTCGAGTGTCTCTATTCTTCGATTTGCACCATGCATGAAGTCCATCTGTATTGTTGTATCTGTATTTATGTTTAGGTGGAGGTTGCCAACACCTTGAGCAAAATAGCATTGAATAATCCAAAAAGTCATGCAATTCTCGTAGAGAAAACGCAATTCCATATTTCTGAGCTGCTTCATCTCTTGCGGTCCAGTAATGTTGACGTTCGTCTCAAAGTTGGAACGGCTTTGGGGACATTTGGCTTCAACAACACAGCTACCCAATACGCCATTCGTAATGCAGGAGGAATTCCGATGAGCTGTTTTGAAGAATTCTTGGTTTCTCATGACGAGATACAAAGAGCTTATGCTGCATTTCAAACTGTGGTTTTGGCGCGTGTTATTGAAGATAGCGACCCGGTATATTTATGCATTTAATCTATAACAGGACTGTTTTTGACCCTTAACCAGTCGTATACTCGAAAAATATATACGTTGACCGTAAAGGGTTTTTTCTATAGGTTGAACTATCAGCTCGAGGTGTGGAGTGCTTAGTTGGGCTTCTCAAGTCTGAAGACGAAGCAGTAAAAACATTGTCAGCAAGTTTAGTTGCTAGTTTAGCGCATACCCGAGCTGGGATACCTAATGGTCTTATCACTGCAGGTTTGTCTCATTTCGACAAGTTTTGTTACAACCTCCAATACGACTTTGAAAGGCTGAACGCATGCTCTAAAATGTGACTACTCGAAAAATAACAGAAAATTGCTTTGTTCAGCTGATCTTGTATATTTATTTTAAAAGGTGCCATCGGCTATTTATTTCAAAACTTGATGTTGGCGAATGAACAAGTGTGTCGCAGCGCGGCAGTTGCATTAGGTTATCTATCATTCGATGGTTCTGGTGCACGTGAAATGCTCGTGATCTGTCGTAATAAACCTGGATTATACTCGGCTTTGAAAAAGAACTTGGGTAGTGGGAAAATGTGTATGGAATTTGTCGATAGTTGGCAAAGAGCGGTAAACGTTGGGTTGCCGAGCATCAGGTATAGATTTTTTTCCGACTTTCACCATGATGAAACCTTTACAACAGTATCTTCATTATTTAGCTGCACATAACTTATATTACTTTTCTTTGCATTCTAATTGTCAGTATTTCTGATTTTCATTTATAGTTTAGAGATCAACGGTGGACCACCAGTTCCTCGGCGTTTGCCAATCGAAGAACGTAAGTTTATATCAAACATCAAGGTGTTGGTAACCATGCAGTGTCTATACCAGGGCACTTATATATAAGTGCCCCGGTCTATGCAGTTCTATCGACAGTGTTATTATATACTCTAAAAGTTCCGTTGAACATTTTTGGAAAGTTCTTTGAATCGTATCGATGAAAAATCCCCACTGCATCACAGAAACTTCGGCAGTTCGGCAGTGTAAATCATAGCAGAGTAAAACGTAAAACTATTTTTTGGCAAATGTAAAAAGTTCCCGCAGAGTTATGACTTATGTCCTTGATTGTTTTTTGGCTATAACAAGACCAAGGGCTATAATGTGGCTATAATATTCTTTTACTTGGTATATAAAGTACATCCACACATGAAAATAGTCAATGACAATGTATTTTTAAATCATCTCCTCCACAGGTCTACGGCGACCTATGACTACACAAAGTTTACCAACATGTCGGGAAAAAAATCGTCGTGAGAGAAAGCTTGCTGTAAGATCGTGTGCTTCAGCACCTGCTATCGCTTCGTCCCACAGAGCCACCACAAGACCAAAGTCAGTAAAATGGTTACGAGAAGGAGTATCAGAGCATACAAAAATATTAAACATGAGGCCGACAGTTGAAAACAAGATAAAACAGAATATAGCCAGTGCAAGTTGAAGAAAGTTAGTACTCTAAATTGTTTTAGCACGAGATACTAACAGCGTGATAACAGCGTGACCATAAACAACACGAAGTCAACCAGATTTACCAGAAGTACCAGATTTGGACTGTAGACTGCAAGAAGTTTTCATGAAGTGTTCTACAGAACACTTATATATACTGTAGTCAATAATATAATTTAGGATAGACAAATTGAAATAAAATATTATGCAAGGAATGAAGCCTATGGAGGTCTAGGAGATGTCCTCAGTGCCTTGAATGGCTACAACATGGTCTTACGTTGTGTTTGCATTAAATTACAGAATTTAAACACAAACAAACTCTATAACCTAAATTTATTTATGTAACTTTTAACTGTAAAAATATTTATTGAAATGTACAAATTATAATGACATGTGGTTACACGTTAAAATATGATAAAATTACTATCATATTTGTACAGAACGACCGATCATCGATATGAACCGAATAAATTAAATTTACAAATTTACAACGTTTACTGGTTTCAGAGTAGGTCCAATTTCCAGTCCTACAAAGAATGGACAACAATATACCGACCTTTTACTTCGAACGAAAAGGAGAAATATTCAATTCTCGCGAATCTTGGGAAATAGCTATATACGAAAACGTAGAGAAAAAACACTTTGCCGACATTTAACTGTGGATAACAGGCATTTGGTAACACATTATACCACGTCCCCGAGCTAAATAAGACGATGTTATTATTTGCTATTTCAGTTTTAACCGAAGGTGGGGTCATAGCGTTGCTGTGGTAACTAAATCTTCATGTCCACCGTCATATGAACCTCGGGCTGTGACAAGCAAGTGAAGATCTGGTTCATTTAGTAATCCCTTGAAAACTATCACACACTCGTAATCAATGCAGCTCCTATAACATAAATTGCAAAAGTGGACGAGCGTGTAAAAGTAGACGAGCGTGTAAAAGTGGACGAGTTACCCGTTGTGACTAGAGGTCTAAAGCGGTGGAAAAGCTTGTCGGATACACAATCACGGGTATTGTACATGCCATATTAATGACAATAAATCCGACAATTACTAGTTACGACACCACCACCGCCAATAAAAGACAAAAGACAGTGTACTTACCTGGGAACAAACGTAAGCTTGAGCAAGACATCATTGTTGCTGACATTAGAGATATGACCCTCAAGGAAACCACATGTTGGTTCAACACCAAAAACTTCGCGACTCTCAGCAGGATAACGAGAATCTGAGATATCGAGGAAGGCAATGTTTAAAACACCGGCTGTCTCGAAATTTAGTAGGTGCGGACTTTATGCACATTGATAAATCATCTCATGTATATTGTGTAAATAACCCAAGTGCGAAGGACGAGTCATGTGGGGAGTATGAAGGAGCATGTTGAAACAAAACGTCTAATATGGTTATATTTTGATCCTCCTGGAATCATCAAACCAAATAATGAGATAAATAACCTAATAAGAGTAAACAACGAAGATAAATCTTCTATATACTCTGCGGGTTCAAGCGCCAGGGTAACCATCCTTTCGTGAAAATAGAAATAATTTTTATGATGGTAGCAATGGTATTATATCCTAGCTTACCTTTCTCTACAAACCAAGAACTAGCAGATTTTCCAAAATTGGTCAGCTTCACGGTCATTACCTTCGTGTGTCCAACGAGACCCACACCAAAATCTATTTTTTCTTTAGAGAGTAGTAGATGAGGCAGTGAAACAACAGCAGTTAGCGGTAACGTCTGAAAGAAATTGTTAATATCATAAATCTACCATTAATATCGTAGTGGCATATCTATTAACGATCAAAAATTCTCTTTTCATAGCATAATAGTAAGGAACGGTTTCAATTTTTGAAATTATATCATACCTGTGTGGTTTTATTTGAAAACATTATCTGAAGATTCTTCTGTACTTCAAGCACTGGTAATAATCCATTTTGTTTTGACTCGACAATATCGCTAATTTGAGTTTCCTCAAATAACATATCATGAGAAAGACAGAACCCAATAGAAATCTAGACGTTGAAATTTACCATATCGGTGAAAAGGATCAACATTCATCCATGCAATTTAAGTTAAAAAAGCAAAATTTTGAGTTTACCAAAGATTTTTTCCCAATAATCACATACTTTATAGTTTGCATGTGTGTTGAATCATGAATTTGCGTAATCGCTGGTAAACTTATTTATTGAAATTTAACTATAAATGAAACTAAAAGCGTCTAACCTGGACATTTCTTCTTGGTTTCAATGATATGATCTTGCTGGATGTTATTTTAGTATTGTCTTTAGTATAGGCAGAGGGTGGAGCGCTGATATCAAGTATGTTAAATGGTTTTTCGACAAGCATTCGAAATGACACTAAAGCATCACTTGTGTTGGTTAAGGTATAATAAGATGTTTTGTGGACTTCTTTCATTGTCTATAAAAGACCAATAAGACTGAAATAAGGGAATAGACCGAAGTATATCGAATTGTAAAGAAACTAAAAAATTCAAGTTCAAATTAGGTCAAAGAAAGACCAACTAAGAAGAAGACATACCTCAAAGATACTACCATTGGATGTTTTCAATAAGTCACTTGCACTTGTCTCAAAATGCGTACCATCATCTGCCGCAACAGACAATCTACACATGCACGAGTGAAAAAGAGAAGATTAATCATGATACAAAATTCAGCTCATGAGAAGGTTTCAGTTGACAGGCAAAGTAAGAAGGTACTTTAATAAATGAAACATAGTGTCCGAATTTTTATGTAATGAAGCTCATTAAAACCCAACTCATTAAAGAGGGATCAAAATCCCCTGTATATCGACTCTACATCAGTGTCTTTTGAGTAATACTATCAATTAATTATACTGTATGATGAAAAAATCTTAAGTTCAAACTTGAGTTTAAAATTGATTTCTGTAATGCAGCATACAATACACAAACAATTTATGGCATTTTCCGGCTGCAGACTTTTACTTACATTGCAGGTTTTATAGATGCAGTCATATTCAACCTGAAAGGTTCTTTATATCGTCCAGTACATCGCTTCACAAAACAACTCTCTAATTCCTCCTGTAAATTAATTTAAGCTAGATGAAACGACATGTAAATATTTTCCTATAATAGGCAACTTAACTAACAAAGATGCCAAAGTAATAGTGTTTCATGCGGGGTTTCCCCACAGTGAGAGCAGAATATATGTTGTCAAAGATTGTAGTTTCGTGAACGGTATTAATACGATCAATTGCTTGTGAATGATAAAGAAATATTTAATAACTTACAATACTATCCAAACTAATGAAACCAAGCGTAAATGAATTGCACACTACATCAGACGTCATATTTGAACAAGGTGTAAAAACAACTTTGAGATCAGAGTGCTTTCTCGCAGGAACAATCTATTATGGCGAAATAATCCAACAAAAAATAATTAAGATGGAAACACAGAACATGCAAGCTCATTCTTCTCATCAGAAAGCGTGAAAAAGCACTCGCCACGCTTCCCGAAAGTCGAGCAATTTCCATTTCCGTGCAGTATCACGGAATCCTGCACGGAAAACCATTTAGCATTTTCTTTATAAAATACCTACAATGAAACGACGGTCAAATTTCCCGCGCAAAGCGGCATTGTAAACTTTCCGTGCAGGATTGTCTCATACTGCACGCCTACGAACTAATCAAATTGCGTGTTTCATTGTAGCTATTATATAATAATTATTCATGAATTTCATAATGTATTGTACAACATGAGAGTTTACCTGTTGTGGTTGTTTAATCTTGAAAGGCACGTTTTCTTGTCTACCAACATGTTGACGAACATCCACAGTAACTAGAGGTACATCACTGCCGTGTTTAGCGGGTACAACGTCCTTGCCATCGACTATCTTTGGGTGGGGCTCTCCAATATCGATAATGAGATCAATTAATTGATCATCTTCTTCATCGATATTATAAACTTCCCAATCAAGACGGATATCTAGGAGAAAGTTAAAAGCTGACATAGAACTGCCAGTTAATGAGTGGAACTCCGGAGTGACGTTTACTAACCACAAGGACTCGTATTATTGACTCGAAGTACTCGTTCAACGACTGGAGCCCCAGAAACATGAGAACCAAACCTGGTAAAACAGAATAGCGTGTGTTATAGTCATGCACCAGGGATATACAGAACAGTTTAGTATACACATATACGTATTTCTCTACTGCATACTACTCGATCGGGGCTCTGGATCAAATATAATTCCTCAAGCAACCTTCATGATCCCCTCTGTAATGCAACCTTCATGGTCAGTACAGATAATACTTGGGGTTATATATACCTAACAATTGGCGATATTTCCTTCGACATTTGAAAGTTAAGAGGGCATCCTTCAACAGTCAAAACTATTGGAACACGTTTATCCTCAAGTCCATGAACCTAAAAATGAAATCCTAATCACGTGAACCGAACAAAATATGACCTTGAAAGCAATATTAGTTAAAATCCCCAAACCATCGACCACATATTTTCCGAATTTGCAGTCTTGCAATGAAAACTATGCGGTAAATTGTCTTCCCCGTATTGTTTTTTGCTCACTCATGCCAACTCAGAAAGTGTCTTTATGCATATAACACGTGTAATTCACAGCCCGTTCCACTGCCGCCTCTTTAAGACACTTTCAAAGGCACATGCATAACTCAATATGATGATACGGCTGCATCAAACACTATAAAATACCTTGCATATAAGGTTATCCGAATATTCCCCCCACATATCCGTATAGGCAGTCACTTCTATAGCACATTCTTGATAAGGAAGTAGTTCACCACAGGATGGTCGACAAACGAAAGCTGCCCCTCGGCCATCTCGAAGTAAAGAACGAACAAAGTCTAAACAAAACAGAAAACAATATATTGTAGTCGCGACTTTTTATCCTACTAATAAATTCCGTGCAGTGTTCCTTCACTCCGTTGCTTTATGCATTGAGATGGAATTGTAACGACAAAGAAAACGACAGAGTTCTTGGGAATTCCTCTTCTGAGAGCAAAGCTAAGCGTTTCGATGTTTACCTGCTTGTGACTTTGATGGCGTCTTACTTAAAGGATCAGCAATATTAGGAGTTTTTGCCAATATGCTATGTCCTCTGAAGAGAAATGACTCCGAGTTAGAACTATATGCATGGTTACAAATGGGGTGGTGTTGCAAAGACCACATACGTTGTGCAGGCTGTGCACATACGATCTGAATATTAGAGTACTTCGATTGTAAGTTGGCTATAGGCTGCATGCTAATTGTAAAACGTGTATTGTCCATACCGGCTGTACATGTACATACCGAATATTCCTCTTGGCAGAACCTTCTGAAAGAAAAAATATAATAAATTCTTGAAGACAAAAAGGGTGACTCACAGCAAAAAAAATCTACTTTCTCTCTGAAGGTAACTTTCTAACTTAAATAGGGGACAATAGGCTGCAATATCCTTTGCCTCGTGCTCTGGGATCAGGGTTTACAGTTTAAAGAGATCAATTTACCTGTTGGCGGGGTTGGTGTCCTAGCAGCAGAAAAATGTTCCACTGAAACATCGAACTTTGTGGCAATCGCTGTTTTATTTGTGAGGATTAGCAGAGCTTTGGGCGTGTCTCCAAGATTGGTCTTTCCGTAGTTTAAAACAAGTTGGTTTTCATCTTCAGATTTTAGATTATTCCTGGGAAATTGGATACCGTGTAAAGTATATACAAAACTAGAACATCAAATTCTTTTGCGTAGAAAGTGAGTTTGTTACGACTGCTATCTTGACCGTAGAGGAAGTCAAATGGAGGATGTTCGCAATAACTCACAGTTGAAGCCCTTTGTAGAATATCAAAGAACACCATCTAACAAAGCTTAAGGATTTTGACCAGTGCATGCAAGAAAACAGGAATAATGATAATTTATACTCACTTTTGATCCTCCTTCTGAGGGGTATCGGTCCCAAAGGTAACCTGCAAGCCACGTATTGTTCCAGTAAATGACAAATATAACAACTTCTCCATTCCCTCTGCTTCGCAAACAGCAACAACATCATTTAAAAGACCTTCTTTTGATCCGGTGAATAAAACAGTAAACGTCTTTTGTTCTCTTGGTCCAAGGTCCCAACTACTTGGTTGGAATTCTACTGAACAGAATTGTGAATCGTTGCCAAGGCACTAAGACAAGAAAAGAAATAAATCAGATTCCTCTTCGCATATATATCACTTATATAGTCCTGGGGCCGGTTGTATCAAGCCCGTTTAGCTTAAAAGGTGGATAAGTCAAAATTAAATAACACTCTAACATGTCTCTTGAATGAGTCAACTTGAATTCTATGCACTGAATACGTAGTTGTAAACAGTATCTTTGTATTAAAGTAAAAAACATTTAGTTCGCTTGTTAAATAGAACGATAAACTTGCTTTCTATTTTGAACTTAACCACCGTTTAAGCTAAACGGGTTTGATACAACCGGCCCCTGCACTATAGCTTGACTGGTCTTCATTATATACTGACATTTTTCCATGAAACTTTAGTAAACATCAATGTTTTGTTCTCCAGCACAATTTCCTTTACAATAGGCACATCGACATAAATTTCTTCAAACGCAACATTCGATGATAAAAGGCATATTTCTGGTTTTTGGACCTCAGCTGTCGCTCGTATGTAACTAGAAGGGAAAAAATGCAATGCATGCCTTGAGTTGTTGTAAGTTGCAAAGCAGATTCGCATTGCAACAGGCAATGCGATAAATACTTGCATTGCAGTTTGCATGAAGGGTTAAATCTAGCTTCCTCATAACGAGAAAGACGGAGCTTGGCATGTCGATTAAAAATATAATTGTTATTAACTAAAGTTGAATTGTTATTAACTGAATACAATTTAGCCAGCCAAAAAATTTTTTGCAGATCATGCACACAAGTTGCACGCATGTGGGACAAGTAAATTGCATTGCAAGTGTCAGGAAAAAATCAAACCTTATCTCACTTCCCACAACATCACACTGAAACACACTTCTAACTCTCCTACATGTCAAGGGCTTAAAGACAACTTCGACGTCAACTCTTTGAAACGGACCCAAAACTCCATGGTGTGGACTAAACTGAAACTCTGAAGGCATTTCTTTGTATCCCTATATAAGAAAAATTTGGCGAAATGCTGGCAAATTGTGTGAAATTCTCTTGTGCTAATTCTATACGTGGATTTTTGATGTCAGATCGGCATGCATTTATAAGCGCCTGCTTTGTCAGACTAATACTGTTTCGATATCTTATTAATGGAGATTTGAGAACATACCCTCAAATTCCCGCGACAGGTGTTCTTGTGTATGAGCAAACTCAATTCCAAGTTCAAAGCGATCGAGTGGTAGAAACGGATATACTGTAGACCCATGCACATAAACGTATTAGAGCTAGAAGGGGCAATTACTCTAGGGGGCTAACTCAAACATTCCCAACCAATATCACTCAAACCTTGTCAATATCGATGAGATTATAAGGCGAAGCTTCTTTAAGAGACCAAACAGCAGCAACTTCAGAAAGATTTGTTATAGCCACGGTTCGAAGAGCCGATCTAGAGAACCGCACAAGACCAAAGTCGATATCTGCGTTGTCTACTCTCACAAGCGGACCCTGCAAATGAAAACAGCAGAAGAATATGAACTCCTGATGTGCCGAGACCTCAGCCACTGTTGCTGCCTCCACTATACTTCTCTAGCATACAGTGTAGTAGCAAGACTGCATGCTGTTTTATTTTTCTGAATAAATATATGAAGTTATCTATCATATGTACTGTACTGTCTTCCAATGTATACCAATTAAAAATATATCCAAGATTTCGTTAAAGAGTTTTCTGCATGTATTCTTCAAAAAGAAATATTAAACACTACCTCAAAGTTAGCCTTCACGTGGACATACACGGGGTCTGATGAATAATTGACGTCACATTTAACTGTTGATGAAAAACTCCCTGCCTTTGTTGCGCAAATACTGAGTTCGAGCGTCTCCTCTTGGTCAATATCTACAGCATGCAGATGAAAGAAGGAAATATAATTTTTCAATGTCTGTATATTAGCCTGGATAGAGTTTCTACTTGGCGTGACCAAATAATGCAGTGAATAAAACCATGGGGGGGGGGGGACTACTATCCCAGCAGTCAAAATTAAACTCTTACCAAGGTCACCTGACTTGGGTTGAATGTCAATCACAGGTGATGTCTGCCATTCATAAGATGTTTTAGAAACACTGTTGTTCTTTATCTGAAAAGTTGAAACATGCTTGGTGATATGCATGGCTGAATTCAGCTGGTAGAAGTGGGGCAGTTATCCATGCAGTTATTAGTTTCTCTATTTAGGTTCTCAGAAGAAAATTCCTCAAAAACTTTAGGAAGTTTTTCTTCCTTTCATGACAACCAAAGAACGATAAAAGCAATCCCCATACTTTGGTTCTAAGACTGTTTCTAGACTCGACCAAAACACTACAAAATCCTTTTTTGTTGCACCTGTCTGTCAACTGAAACCTTTCAATCACGTCATTGCAAACCTTTCAATCACGTCATCATGAGCCTTTGTCAGGAGAGGTTTAAAATTGCTCAGATAAACCAGTAATTCGTAAGAACGTTGCGCATGAGCAAAAGCCTACCTTAACATCAAATTTGTAGGTTTTTCCCGCCAAACGTTTTCCTGGTATTATAAGAATCGGTGGATCAACCATAACTTGAAAAGGCTAGATTTGAAAAAGAATATTTATTATAACATTTAGCTACTGCATTCACAAGTCGTAGAACCTTTAGTTACACCAGTTAGAGATGTAATTGTATTGACAAAACAATTCGCAAAACAACGACGCATAGAAATGGATCAAGGAGTCACTTCATTTCGGTCATTCAATGATTATCATATACCAGTTATCCCATACAGCTGCATTTCATAGGTTAAATACATTCATTTGTACCACATTCTTTAATGTTCAATGATCATTCATACCTTTGAGAACAGCTTAAACTCAACCTTCATTGAGGTCACGTCCTCATCTTGTTGTACGCTTTCAGCTGAACTTGATACTGGAATCTTTTCCAGCACGAGATGCGCCACGCTGTGGAAATCACCAATCTTAAAAAATCAAACATCTCTTCACTCTACTTGTCAGTAATTGAAAAGACTTGACGTGCAGGTTCAGAGATGGCAGAAATTCTGCCTGCTTCCATTGAGTTTACGTCGCAATTATTACACTTTATGACAGAAAAGAACAGCCGTGCAAATATTTTTCAAAGCATTGCGGGCAATCTTGGCATAAACACATAATTAGCATAATGCACGGGCGGTGACGGACTTGGCCGCCTAAGGGAAAATATTCACCCATGCATGTAGACTAATTTTGTTCATGTTTTTATAATAAAAAACCCAGAGAAAAATCATTGATACATCAATCAGAAATCATGATGCAACGGAGTTGATGATGACACCCAGCTCCACTATATAAAATTTAGATCTGGAGCTACGTACCTCGGTTGGCGATGACGTCACTTCGAACTGGAAACCGACATCAGGCTGGAATACACCTGAGCTTGGCTTAATGCTGAATACAGAGTGTTTCTCTGGTGCGAATTGTCTGTTTTTGTCATTCTTACAAGACCTCATGCGAGGCTTCATTATTTTCCAATAGAAAGGAAGGGGAACGTTGCTGTAATAAAAAGAAGACGAAAATGCACGTGTTTATGAATGCACGTGTTTATGAATGCACGTATCCTTGTTACCTCTAGCCATGTACTCATAATCAATGGCAAACAGAAACTTTGAACAAAGGTTTGCCTAACAGAAAAGAAAATGATTCTTAAGAACGAACCTCATATTTTTCAACACCATTTTCTTCCTAACTGTTGTACAGGGATTTTGATCAGAGAATCTGACGAGATGATTGGCGGACAGATCACAACTTTCGCCAATCACAGCCTGGCTGATTCCTCCATCTATTGACATGAACTGCACTCTTGCCGTTTGGCCAACACCTTCAAAAGTTCAATGTAGACATTAACAATAGCGAGAGGATTTAAAACAGAAAACATAATGCAAATAAATGCTTTATATCACACTAATTAATTTACATAATAAAAAAGGCATACATCATACAATTTGGAACACGGTAAATACTGGTACGTTCGTCACAGGAATACATAATTATACCTTGAATCGTGAATCGCTTTACTTGACAATTATCACAAACCATGTAAATTTCGTGCTTGTAATATTTTGCACTCACGGGTTGGAATGTTAACTAAGGTGAGAAAGAGAAACTATAACTTGCATTCTCTTGGTGGCAACATGCAGATATTCAGAAAATGAATTTAAAATTGAGATCCAATTCCATAATCACCTTGAGCAAAATTTCCTCTCCTTCAAGCAATTGAAACATTGCTGGTTGCACGCAGAAAGGCTCCAGAGCCAAGTAACCAGGGTTAGCTAAACTCCACTGTAAAATATTTAAACACATGCGGAGTCACTAAAGTTATAAGAACACTGTGTGATTTTTTATATCATCTTTTTTTTAGCAATGCAATGCTTCTTTTCGGTACGCATCACTCCTGCCTCCCAAGTTCCTGGTATTGGGCAAACAGTACACTTCACTATAGTTGAACTAGTCAAGAATCTATATTCTCTACCTTCCAAGACGTTGTCGGCCACTCAGATTCATGCAAAATACAAAATCGTCCAGGACCACCAACGTTGAGGCACTTGAACACAACAGTTTTGTTTCCACCAACCAAGCAATATCCACAGTCGAGTATTGTAGGTACTGAAGGCAGATAATATGAGCTACAATTAACTTCATGGTGGTACAATATTCTGATGTCTCGCAGGGATTGGGAACAAGCAAGAATAGGATGAAAGTAATGGTGAAGGATATATAACAGCAAAAAAGCATAACAGATCTGTTATGCGAAATTTCATCTTTTATTTCAACCTACTTGTTAACTGTGGTGGCTTGCGTTTTCCAAGTACGGCTATATCTAGGGAATCATCTAGTTGGGTTCGTATCTGTAAGATATTTGTAGAGTTTAACGAATTGAAAACCACTATACTAGATCACGTTATATAATTGCATGCCTGCATGATTTTGCAATATTATGAACAATACTTGTAATTTGAGATATAGTAAAGGTATCATTTATGTGAATCACTGCAATGTAGTGTACGCCGCAACATGTTTACGTACTGTACCTGTACTTTGTCAACATAGTCAGTCAAGGAATCAGGTGCAAACTTCACAGCAAATTGACAGCTCATGCCTGGTGCTATGATTCCGTGTTCGGCTGGATATTGACCTAAGACGATGGAGAGAAGAGTCACATGGAAAATCAAACTCACTCCAAACCAAACTAAACATGCAAAACAGTAAAAGGAGCTAAGAGGAAAACTATAAATCGGTGGGGACTTTCCCATCATCAACATGATAATTACACGCGTATATGTGTTTGTCAACTTACCTAGTCCAATCGAGAAGAACTTGGTGGCTGGCGGAAGAACACGGATTTGACGGGACGAAGAGGACACATTCTTCAGTTCCAGCTTAATCTAAAACATTACAATTTAGATCAAATATCTATCATCAGCCTACGTCAGAAAGGTTAGTCACAACGTTTTATCCATTTGGGGTTGGAAGACATTTATCTTAACACGGGTACATCCATGCATATGTATATAGTAACAAATAAAACCAGCTACATATTTATACTGGACAAGTTTACTCATTTGGGAATGTCTCTGGACCATTTACTATATCATGAAAGTCGAGTCCATAACTGTATTACCTCGTAAACCTTCCCTACTTCATATTCCGTGAAAATCACAGGTGATGGCGAAGGAATAAGGACATCGGATGACTTGACAGACATCACTCTAATACATGAAAAGGCATAATAGGCAAACTTGAGCGTGGGTGCATGGGCACATAGGAAACGAATTACGATGAAGTCACGATAAGAAAGTATATAGTCTACCTGGCAGTAAGTCGCTCTTTATTCGATGATTTCTTGGGTTCGGTTTTAATCAAAGTTGGATAAGAATTAGGCGGAATATTACGTGGATTGCGGAGATATTCGACTTTAGCATTTAGTTTTTGTAGATCAGTCCTCTCCTGGTGTCTTTGATCGGGTTTAATCGAATCACGCCAAGACGACGTCACTCTGGATTTTGCCTGACAAGGACAAACACATTCCGTCGTTATAACATATTTGACGACTTTTATAAAAATATTAAATCCCCAATTCTGCATCAAATCCTCATGCATTCAAATTAATTTATTGTTGTATATATGTATTATAGTACAGTTGAGACATGCAGAACTTGGTATAGAGAGAGAAGGCTTTTCAAGAACGTGCATGGTTTGCAAATAGCGTCATGCAGAATGTTTGTGCAGCTGTTTACGAGATTAATCGACTTAAAACTACCAATAACACGTAAGGGAGGCCTGCATGCAGGCCTTAAAAGACCTTCCTGTATTTCCTTGGACGGTTAAATGATGAATGTTGGAGTTAGATGAACAATACTGAGGTTCACTACGTAAGTATACTACCCCAACATATATAGAAACTAGGCTTGTCATCTAAGTAAAAAGCATAGTATATCAATTTTTCTTGTAAAACTAAAGCTGGAGACCCATAATAAAACATATATTATATACGTATATATACGCAGTATTTTCCCACGCGTTTTTAATGACGCAGTATTATTTCAAACATTTAAATATCTCTCATGATGTTCATTTTACAAGTCAATATGTTGAAAGTTGAACCTTCAGTACCTGTAAATTCATCAACGTATAGGGGAGCGTTTACGTTATACCGCGGATCCGCTCGTCACGACACTTTCGTTCACCGTGAAAGAGCAAATTTACTATATATACAGTTCATAATTGTTCAAAATTTGACAGATTTGGTATATTTTAGTCTAGTACATTTGAAATCATCACGGCCGTATAGCAACAAAATTTCACCTGTTCCTATATATTGCATTCGCACATAGTGTGAACGAGGCCTATATTATAGTTCGTATATAACTCGAGAATAAACAGGTAGTGCACATTAATTTGCAATTTGATTGATTTACTCCCAACAAGCTCATCGAGTGCATTTATCAAGATGCTACCGAATGCAAGCCATCTCAACGCTTCATCCTTCCATTCCACCAGGAGCATAGGACTGTCGATAACATCGATCGTTTTAACATTCACATCTACAACTGGAAACTCTATTGTTCTTGTTCTTATATATCAGCACCGACGACTAAGAACAGTGTCAAACTTGATTGTGATGAATGTGTGTATAGCCGACACGCTTTTTGCCGTTCTATGGTTTCCAATGAATGCATATTACTGGTCCAAAGCGACATACCCTGGAGATTCCTTGTGCAGTTTTATTGGAGTCCTCGGTCTCCTGTGCTCTATGGTATCAATACACACCTTGGTGTTTGTCAGCATCGAAAGGTTTTTGGCCACGAATTTTCCGCTGCAACACAGAGGACGCTTCACTATGACTTGCGTTAAGTATGGTTTAGCGTTTATTTGGATATGTGACATCTTTTTGACCACCCTTCCTTTCGTGGTTGCCAAGTATACGTATCTCGAAAAATTTTATCACTGCGTCAACGACTGGTCAGAGAATAAAGCATCATCGTTTGCATACTTCACAATCTCATACCTGCTTCCTTTTCTTGTGATTCTTTTTTGCAACATCTATATTTTGCGGGCCGCGCGGAGATTAGGGGGAGGAATTCACGCAGTTCACGTGATTTCGGCATCAACAAAGAACAGAGCAAAAAACGCAAGAATTCGCCACGAGAGATGGGCATCTTTCGTTGTTGGTACAATCATCTCGGCATTCATCATCTGCTGGACTCCGTACACCATCGCGGCACTTTGCTTCCAGGTGAAAAACTGCAAACTTCCAAAAGAGTTCATGGCAGCGGCAGTGATGATTGCTGGTGTAAATGGATCATGCAACCCGGTTATTTATGGAATCATGAATAAGAATTTCCGCATCGCATTCAGCAGCAATTTGGCTTGTAAACCACGATCGGGAATTAATAACCATTAAACAGCAGGACTGGTGTATAATTACGCAAGTGCGTTGCACAGTGCACTGCATGCTGTGATTCCATTTAAGGAATCAATCAATGAATGTCCCAATACCTAGCTATGCAGTGAATATTCTTAGTGGGCAGTCCCAGTCAATAGTCTTGTAATGTAAAGCAATGTGAACACAAAAAGAACAATGGAAATAATAGGGTCATAGATCCTAATTTACAACTAATACTACATTATTTAGTTATACACTGCGTCTAAATTTCACAAATAAATTACATTGCATTCATTTCTCCTGGTAGTAAGAGCCCACTTTGCCTTCAATAGAAATTCTACATCTTAGGTTTACATGCAACTTCTTTTTCATGCATGTGTTAGAGAAGGATGCTTTACTTGAACAGACGACCAATTTATGTCCCCAAAAAAGAACGTACAATGCATTTCATTTAAAGTGGTTTCAAGTTGAGAAGAGCAGTGCATGGGGATGTAATTACCAAATGGGTGAAAAAGTTTGTTCCGTCAAGAAAATTTTGCCTGTGAAAAGCTACATTCCTACTCCTAGGATTAAGCTAAATAGCAGCTGCTGAGATATTTAACATGACTTGATTATGAATGCAAAGAAATTTCTCGGTACATACATAATACTCCTATATACTCACGCTCCTTGATACTTTGATTGAAGGCTTATCCTCCGTCGAAATTGGTGATTCTGCTGTAAATGGATAGGTCATCGCTTCTGCTGATTCTTCAATATAATTATCCGTAACATGTTCTTTGTTGGTATGAAGAAGTGATGATGTGGTAGGTCGGGCATAGCTTGGCAATGGACACCCTGTTTGATGGAAAGTGATTATCATGATTATTTCATAGTTTATGGCAATGTAGTCTAGCTACATAGGGAGGTTGTTTGAGGTGGATAGTGTTCTTTCAACCTTACTAAGATGATATGTTTGTTTTTACCAAAAGAATTATTATTATTAAAGTTGTTATCAATCCTCTTCTTCATTTTATTGATCAATGCTAATTCTTTAAAGCTTAACATAGTTATCAAATGATAACTGGCACTATCCAGTATCCACCTTTCAAAAAACCCACCCTTGGTTTCCACTTCATTATCATTATTAGTGAACAAGTAAAGCACCCTTATTTATCAGAAGTGAATGACAAGAGTGCATATCACATACCATGTGGAGGTTGCGTACGTTGATATTCAGCTGATATATAGTCATCTGGAGTGATTAAGTTAAACTTCTTCAATAACGCTACATCCATCATGTAACGTAGATGTGATTTTACTAAATGAGAAATGAGTTAATTTACATTCTGGTTCATGATATACTGCAATAACAAAAATCTTTTACGAAAAAATTTTTAAACAACATTTGGAAGCAGTGGCAATGTTTTTGATACATGTATTGATCCTAATGACTCTAATGGCATTCGCTAATTTAATCATTATCAAAACATTCTTAATACCTGGAGGCAATCCTAATGACTCATAATTACTACATTCTTCAGAGGCTCGTTGCAATTCTTGTTCTTCGGAAGCTGTGGCAGCAGCACGTGCTTGCATTATATGTGTCTCAAGCATGGCCAGCTCATCTAGTTGGCGCTGTCGTTCTGACTGGATCTGTACAGGGATGTAGTAAATTTGTAGAGAACCAATAATATAAATTAATATTAGTACTGAGATTATGGAAAGTATCTTTATGAAACAACAGACACAACTTTATATGTTTACAATTTTGTTGGATGCAAAACAACCTCGTTAAACAATTAAAGAACTATCTTTCATCCACTTTTAGCCAGTATGCGTATCTATACAAGTCACTCACACTTAAGTTTCAGCATGCATAGAGTTGGATAAATTGAAATATATTAATGGCTTTTTATTTATCCCTTTAAACATTTTTATCTCGGTGGGCAAATTAAATGAAATGAATCATGGTATTGCCGCAAAGTTTTAAATGCATTATACTATGAATAGTAAGTCACCTTTGCCAATCTCTCTACATACTCTTCGTGGTAACGCTCCTCTCCACTTCGTGAAATTGTTAAATTTTTCACAGTCTGCTCCCCAACACTCTCTCTTGTCAGGTCCCGAAATACTCGCGCCAAAATATGCGAAACATCTTGTGAACGGCCCAATGAAGGCCTCTGAAGGAACATTGGAGGTTCATGGTTTTTATCGATCACACTCTCCATGACTTATATACAATTAACTAACACAAAGACATAGTTTTATTCGCTTGTTTTAACCATTTCCAACATGAATACACCGCCATTTTACTTTCATGTTGCCATAGTAACTTTCAACAAGTATAAGAGCCCCTGAACTCACTAAACGGTGGAGTAGTATAGTCTATGTGAGTAGTGATGTGAGTGTAGCCATCATGGACCATGATTATTTACTATTCACATAGAAAACCCACCAAGTTTGTGATTATTGTAATGGTTAGGCAAAATTTCTGTTAAGAAAATCCCATTTCATTTAGACCGGAAGAATCCTGGGAGGCTGAAGGAGCCTGGGGAGTAGCTGGGAAGTGGGAACTGGTGGAAAAATAAAGATGTAAGTGGGGACATCCTTTTCAAACAAACCGTTCATTCCGGAAAATTTCTGGTTGGGCTATCAAAATATGCTTGTTCCATTAACTTTTCATGTAAATAGTAAACAACCATATATCTATACACTTCGAGTCTTTGACCTCAGGTACAAGACAGATCCGGAATCTTCTTCGTTCGATTTTCGAGTGTTATCATGCAAAAATCCAACGACTGTGTCACATAGGTAGTACATTTCTGTCGTACTGCATAGGGTGGCCCCGTGGTAAAACGGGTGCCTCACAATTTTGGGTATATTCGTACGATACACTCGTGAACCACTGTTAGGTAACGCACGTAGACTGGAACAAGACGTAATAAACCAGCTCTGTTAAAAATAAAAAAAAAATAGTTTCTTAAGATAAAACAATGAACTAACTTAACACTAATTGTTCTCAGCCAAACAGATTCATTTACCAATTCTTTATGTATCACGAATTACGAACATCGTCACGAATACGTACTTTTGTACCGAAGAAAGTTTTTCGCAAGTTGACATAAGTGCTTGAAGAAACGTCGACAAACCATTGACGGTTAATTTAAGCTGTTTACAAGGTTCCATAAACTAAGGAAGACATAGGGTTCGTTAAAAATATGGAATTGTTACAGTCTTAAATTTTGCGTGCATTCAATTGTTTTTGAGTTGATACTTGATAGTGCTTGCCTGGATTTTAAAATCAGCCAGAACATATCGAGTGGTTAGTTTGCCAAGAAATTAATTTACCTTTTCAATTAAATCTAAGAATATATCCTTCATGTCTTTCTGGTGAATAAGCCCAGCACCAATGTTTATCAATATACGATCAAGATTCTATAGAGATTATAGCAGCAACCATGAGTGAAGTCTGATACATCTGGAAAGATGACTTGGGGGGGGGAATAGTGTCAAAAAAATTCTTAAAAGGAGAAAAGTATTAGAAATACACAACTAGCCTATACAGTTTGGTTGGCAAACTTCGCCAACACTTTTTGTCTGCATTAAACGGTAGATAGACTGTATTTTAACAAAAGTCAATACGCCCTACTTTAACATGAGGATCGAACGTCTTTGCGATCTCCTTTGACGCTTTCGTTTTTAATTCTGTAAAAACTGCTCTTTTGTGTTCATCTGCGATATCTTTATCAGAGCTGAACGTTTTGAGGTCCCTGAGTTCTTGAAGGAAGTTTTTATCCATATCAAGAGCAGTGTCGGAGTCGGTGATATCTGCAATTTGACAAGGAAATGAAGCTTCACAGAGCTATACAATTTGCGTTATACGTATTACCATGGTAATTTTCAGTATCATTACTCGGAGAGGGACAAGAAAGGAGCACAAACGTTCCAATACATATAATTAAAAGTATGAATCACACATTACCTGATGAACTGGTCATCCAATTAGTGATCATGTGGTCAACACAGTAAGCACAATCTGCAAACGTTAAGTACGTTAACCTGAAGAATACGAAAACGTTATTACGGACAACACTGAACGTGAAGAATACAAAAACGTCATTACGGACAGTCTTTATAAAGGAGATGTTTGAATTCAATACAATTAATGAACAATAAACCCAGACCACGATTACACTATCAGAAAGAACTATTTTTTTTCTGTTTGACTTGAAAAAGTATCTTAAAACTAAATTTTCAAACGCATGCATTCTACATGGTAGACTGTACATATTGGCACTATCTTTTCTACCATCGATTCAATACATATAAAATAAGCGCTGTAAATTTGGCGATTACAATCAAATCATATACCTTCTCTTTCCTGTTTCAAATTTGTGATACGACATGAATACAATGCAAGCATATAATCTGCAATAAATTATTTGTCAGTATATGCCTGGAACTGATTGTGAAAATCTCTACTCTCAATTACGTTTTAATCACATATATTATGCAGCTAACTTGTAATGGTAGTTAATTCCATAATCTTCAATAATAATGGATAAATTTAATATTCAAGCTCCTATCTCAAGCTCAAGATGATGTCCACTATCCCTTAGTCATTTATAGAGGAAAAACAATAGAAATTCTTACTTTGAAAGCTTTTCTGACAGCAAAAACTCTGTTTTAATGTTTTTTACCAAATCCCCTGTTGAGTCTTCAACTGCTTTAAAAATGTTTTTTATATTATCATACTGTCTTTTACAACTTTTCAAGGGAATATTTGTTTTTTCTGAAATTTCATCCAGGTCTTTTCGTAGTCTGGTTGTCAATTTTTTACCTAATAAGTCTCGAACAATTATGTTGTCAAATTCATAATACCTGTGGAAGGAGAGTGAGAAAGATGCACTATGGTTATTTGGTTTTTGAAACTTGTTGCTCTGTCAAATTACCCCAATTTATAAACTAGCACAAATCATCATTTTCTATCTGACCTTTCAATCAGTCTATCCTGGACATCAGAGGGAATCTGCAGTATAAGTTGTGTTGCTAACAATGTTGGTGTTTGTAAGAAATGTTCTAAGACAAGAAATACTCGATATTGATCAGCAATATCACTTGCAATGATAGCAGGTGTAGCTCCCACTTGCTGAAGGTACCCATGTTTCGTCTGATGTTCTGCAGCTTCTTGTTCTGTTCAACAGAACAATACAGATAAAGACAACTCACAGCATTTCACAAAAAACTCAGGCAAGATAGGACACTTGCCTCTTGCATTTTTTATGAACGGGGGGGGGGGAGGTGTGGCGATGTGCAGTGGGGTTGGTAGTAATAATGCCAGGTTAACAGGCAAGGTCTGTACCTGAATATCCTTTCAGCCAAAGGTTATAAACTTCAAGATCCAAAGTTGTAGGATCAGTCACGAAAACATCCACTTCTTCCATGAAAATGATTTTTTCAATTGCAAGGTTAAGTGTGTCACAGTAAATACACCTTTATAACCTCTATGCTTTTCTATGAATTTTTGAACTTCGAACAATTTTAACTTTTTGAGCCCGCGGTTTTTTTCCAACAATGCAATACTTGATATATACGTCGATAACATTTCAAGTTCTTCCTGCATTTGCTATGACCATGTGATGTCAGAATGTGATGCACTGTTAGGTATTCTGTTACATTTTACAGCGTGTTACATTTTCTTCTCCTGGAAGAAAAGCATCGCATTTGATCTTGCTTTCAAGTCGTCGATTCGGCCACATATAGTGCAGCAAACATCTTGATTATTGTTTTGGGAGATACTAGTGGTGGTACACGGAAATTAAACAGTCTACCAGCTCTGCAGTGGACAACATGAGCTGGCCACATGGTTTAACGCAAAACGCTAGGTGAGGACAGAATAAACATCGCCTTTAATTCCACTCCGTTAAAAAAAACAAGGGATATAAATATCGTATGTTAATGCTTTGGATTATATTTGTTGTACGTTTTGCAAACTTAACAGATAAAATATACAGTTGTGTTGCAGTAATTATATGTTTTTTATTGGCATTTGATATTTAAAATCGTAATGTGAAAAACGTGAAAAAAACCACGTGTTTACACAGTTCGTCGAAATCATGCGGCATATTTACTAAACTCAGAGTTTAGTAAAGTGTAATTAATAAAGACACTTGTAGTAAAGGCACCAGTCCGCATTCTCAAGTGTAGGTGATTGTAAGTTTTGTCAGTATTAGTAGGGGACCGTCAAATAATAGCTTTGTATTATGTTCTGTTGTATTTATGTAATTTCATCTCTTTGATTTTTCTTTTTTTAATTCATTAGGGGGTCTTTTTAAAGGGGGGCTCTCAAAGCTAAGACATATATATCAAACAAAACCTGTGTTTATGCTATATAATATAATAAGTACTTTCATATTAATGAACATGTGTTTTGAGCATTCAGTTTGAGCATTCATTTGAGGATTCAGTGAATTAAATTTTCAGCTTTTCCTTCCTCATAATCAGTATAGTGAGCTGTAATTAATTCATTAAACTAACACACATTTTTCAAGAGAGGAATATCTCACCTAAAATTGCAGCAGAATCCCCTGTGTGAACTTGCATGAAAAATTGCTAAGTAATTTTGGAAGTCCTTTAAAATCTTACAATGTATGTCCTTAGAGGTCAAGCTGTGTCGCAAACTAAAGGCGATGGCAATAATGGAGATCGATTTCCTTTGTATGTTACCAACATTCCAGTTGACATAAATGAGGTATTTTTGAAAAACATTGTTATTCGAAGGGATAGTTTATTGCATATTGCAAAGACATTAAGAATACTTTTGTGTCCTCATTAGCTGTAAGTTGCAGCAATGTCAATGGGGGTTCAAAAATTTTATTGGCCTGTATCCTGTCTTCTAGTGATTGTTAAAATTCATGTCAGATGACTTACTCAGCTGATTTAGATCTGATTGAAGAGCTGCTCATCCAGTATATTGAATTTGTATGCACCAGTTCTGTTAACTTGCTTGCTTTGAATTAAGGATCAATTAAAGGAGATGTTCAATCAAGCAGGTGATGTGATCCATTCAAAATGCCTTCCTCCCAGAGAAGGTAGGAATTCCAAGGTTGGGTAAGTACATGAAATGCATTATTTGCTTATTCAATATTCTTTTATTTTATATTTGTTCTTATGTGTTATGCATATTGTTTTTTATTAATCAATTACCTATGTATACAATGAATTACATTTTGTTAAGATATTACAGAAATAAAGGTTGTAGAATCCTATCAGAGAAAAATGTTGTTCTACATGTGTATGGCCTTTTGTTTATTTCACATCGTTGTGTGAAATGAGTGAAATCTTTGCAATTTTTATTTTATCTTATAGGTTTATAACCTATGCTAATGAGGAAGAGGCAGAAAAGGGCATTTCCATGTTCAATGAAACTCGTATAAGTGGACAGACTCTCAGAGTGGATTATACAAAATCATTCAAAGAAACGAGGGCTCAGTATGGTATGTTTTTGCCTTAAATTAGTACATTTGTGTTATCAATTTCAAGCTGGAGTTGGTGCAATTTGATGGTGTTTTTGGCATGTAATAGTTAGAATATTTTCAATTATTGCAGGAAAGGGAAATTCACCATTCTCTGGTAACAAAACAAATGATGCACCATTCCCATCTGGAAACACAAAAAGTGGTTCTCCCTTCTCCTCAGGCAGCAATGATTCACCATTCTCAAAAAGTGTGAATTCTGATGCAATGAGAGGCATTAAACAGCGTAGCTTGCCACCACAACCAAATGGCCCACAAGGTATTGGTAGAGGAATTCATTATGACGATGATGCTCCAAGTCAACCTGGGTCAGTCATGAATGGGCAACCTGAGGGCATGTTTAATTCTTCCCCTGGGGGCATGCATGATAATTTTTCAGCTAACCAGAACAATTACCAGCAATCAAATTACCAAGGTAACTTCCAAGATGATTCACCACAAGGAAATTTTAATAATCAACAAGGGACACAGCCTTATCCTCCACAATCCACACTTCCTAATGATCAGACGTCGTACCAGTCGGACATGAAAGCCATGGTAAATGGTTTTAGTTCAATGCAAGTCACACAACCTTCTGATGGAATTCAACCCACTGATCATGATCAAAATGAGAACACAGGTCAAAATGGTCCAGTGGATCAAAGTCAGGCTTATGATCAGAATCAGAACTATGATGGGAATCAGGCATATGGTCAAAATCAAACATATGGTTACGATCAGAATCAGGGATATGATCAGAATCAGGCATACGATCAGAATCAGCCATACGATCAGAATCAGGCTTACGACCAGAATCAGGCATACGATCAGAATCAGGCATACGACCAGAATCAGGGATACGATGAGAATCAGGCTTATGATCAAAATCAGGTTTATGATCAAAATCAGGCATACGATCAGAATCAGGCATACGATCAGAATCAGGCATACAACCAGAATCAGGCATACAATCAAAATCAGGCTTACGATCAAAATCAGGCATACGATCAGAATCAGGCATACGACCAGAATCAGGCTTACGATCAAAATCAGCAAGCATATCCGAACCAGACATATGATGAAAATGCTGCTAACTATCACGAGAATCAAGCATATAATCAAAATCAGGAATATAATCAGAGTCAACCATATGATGAGAACCAAACGTATGATCAAACGCAGCAATATAATCAACATCAGAGCTTTGATCAAAATCAAAGTGATGGTCAACATCAAAGCTATGGTCAAGATCCAACATATGGTCAGAATCAAAATTATGGTGAAAACCAGGCGTATGACCAAAATGCATATGGTCAAAGTCAGACTTACGATCAGAATGAAGCGCATGGTCAAAGTCAGTTCCAGACTCCAGCCGGTGGGGAAAATCAGACATATGGGGAGAACCAGGGCTACAATCAGAATCAGAGCTATGCTGAAAATCATGATACTCATACATACGGTCAAAATCAAAATTTCGGGAGTCAAGTCACCGATCAATCCCAGCCTGAAACGTCAACTGGTGACCACACTAGCCAGATGTATGGTCAACAACAGATATTCCACAACCAGCAGACGTTTGGTGATAATCAAGTGTCTAACAAAAGCGAAACGCCGGATCAGAAACGGTCTTTTGATCAAATGTTTGGGGCGCAATCAACTGCGAACGATTCACTAAAACAGTCATTCGATCAAAATCAATTTCAGGTTTCCAGTCGTTTACCAAGATCCCAGAATGACTCTGGTGGAAAGACATGCCATAAATGTGGAGAGGTTGGTCACTTCGCTCGTGAATGTCCGAATAATTCAACGGGCGGTGGCACCAGCGGTAATTGTCACAATTGTGGTCAACCTGGTCATTTCTCTCGTGAGTGCCCAACCAAGAAAACCCATGGCGGTGAATGTCATCGCTGTGGCGAGAGCGGGCATTTTGCCAGGGAATGTCCTCAGAGCTCTGGCGGTGGGGGTGGCGGTACCTGTCACAATTGTGGGGAACCCGGACATTTTTCCCGGGAGTGTCCTAATAAGTCTGCCAACAGTGGGAGTGACGGCTGTCACAGGTGTGGAGAGCAAGGTCACTTTGCGAGAGAATGTCCCAATAATAGTGATCAAGGTAAGCTTTAATTTGTAGGAAGATATATCCTAACGACTCGCGTAAACACGTTCCGCTGATCCGCTGTGTGTTGGTAACAACATTTGATCTCATCTAACAGGTAGTACTTGTCCCAGGCCAGCGATGAGGGTAGATTATGTTCCTCCACCACTACCAGATGACGTGGACATGTTATTCAAATCTGCTGTCCCCAAAGGAATCAATTTTGATAGGTAGGTAATGTGGTCAAAAATAGGCAGGCCGCATTCAGACATTATTGGAGTCAATAGGCAATATTCTTTGTTGCTAGGTTCGATAACATTCCCGTGGAGGTCACAGGCAACAGTCCACCAGCAGCAATACAAACATTTGATGAGTTATTATTACCTGACACTTTGAAATCCAATCTCGCGAAAGCGGAGTTCACTAAACCCACTCCAGTGCAGAAACATGGCATGCCCATTATTCTAAGCGGACGCGATGTTATGGCCTGTGCCCAAACTGGTTCCGGAAAAACGGTGAGATAGCATTGAATGCATTGCGTTCATGTATATTTGTGCATGGGTTTCATGAAGTAGAACTGAAGTCCAGCATGAAGTCGAACTTTGTAATCAGTGATATAAGTAGGGGTGAGTCTTAAATTTTTTATTTTCTTTCGACGTGACTCGAAACCTAACAAATTGGCATATTTTCGAGTCTCTATGCACTAACCTTTTTACTTTTAATTCATTTTGAAGCTCTTTGGATCAAATTACAATATATTGTATCTGTGCTTCAAAGGAGAATATGTCGGTAATCAAGTTTGAATTTCTATTATGTAGGTGGCATTCCTGTTACCAGTGATGGCGGGCATGGTGAACAATCGCTTAGCAGAAGCCGGCTATCTGGGCGGTGGGGATGCGCCGAGTCCTGCTGCATTGTGTGTGGCTCCTACACGCGAACTGGCTTCTCAAATATTCACTGAGGCTCTGAAGTTCTCCAATGGTACATATCTACGTCCTGTTGTGTGTTACGGTGGTGTGAGTGTGGCACATCAATTGTCGAAGCTGGAACGTGGTTGTCATATTCTTATTGGAACACCTGGTCGTTTAATCGACTTCGCTGGACGAAATAAAGTGAGTTGTTCTTCTCCTAGTAACTTTAATAGTTTGAGTAAAAGCAATCTGAAATTGAACGTACATACATGCTGGTCATATTTATAACCATCGATATCAATGTACAGTAGTACCTGGATGAAGTAAAACTGATGTCCAGCAATCGAGAATTTTTTGAAGGCAACCGCTGCCTTTTCGCACTCCAAATTGTCAATATCTGTCGCAATCTGTACATATATAGCCCAGTAAAGCTATACAAAAACAAGACAACTCCGGAAAGGGTATGAAAAACATGACTAGCCGGCGCCTTGGTACTCCAGATTGTTTAGATGTGTTATAAACCGTATATAGCCCCAGTAAAGGAATGCAAAAGCATAACTAACCGTCTAACGCCTTTCTCGGCACTCCCAAATGAGATATTGATATAATTTTTATAACACATTCACACTATAAACACTATAGTCTTACACAAGTCAAAATTTCATATTTTTTTCTAATGGTGTCTTCTCCGGTCCAACGCCACGTGAACATATTAATTTTCTCAAGGTAAGCTTCAGAAATGTTCGTTATCTCATCCTGGATGAAGCGGACCGTATGCTTGACATGGGATTTGAAAATGACATGAGAAAGATTGTAACTCAGTTTGGCATGCCAGAAAAGACCCAACGGCAAACTTTGATGTTCAGTGCCACATTTCCAGATCAAATCCAACAACTGGCCCGAGAGTTTCTGAATGATTACCTGTTTCTGGCTGTCGGAAGTGTCGGTGGTAGTAACCTCGATATCAAACAGGAAATTCTCGACGTGCAGGGAAATCAGAAGAGATCTGTTTTAATGGAAATCCTTGGACAATCAGGTTTAGTAGATTTTAAGATACAAGCGTTAATTCTAGAGGCTGCACTTAGCACTTATTTAGCATTTATTTCCACGTGCTTTGCAGTTTTTGATGAAATAATACTCATATATTTTAGGGACGGAGAAAACTCTTGTTTTTGTTGAAAGAAAAAGAAATGCTGATTTTCTTGCCAATTGGTTATCTCAGAATCAATATCCAGCAACTAGTATTAGCGGGTGAGTATAAAACGTACGCCCCTGGCCGTTTGAGTCTGCCTTTGAGGGAGTCGAGACAAGTGAAATCAAGGCCAGGTTACGATGAACCTGTGTTAATTGTATTATTGATGTGTCATTTGGTTGACTGTTCTTTTCATGATAGGGACCGTACCCAGCAAGAACGTGAGGCAGCCCTTTGCGATTTCCGTGGTGGACGTGCGCCTGTTCTCATTGCAACATCGGTTGCTGCACGTGGTTTGGACATACCAAATGTAAAACACGTCATCAACTATGACTTGCCGCAACAGATCGAAGAGTATGTACATCGTATTGGCAGAACTGGTAGGATTGGAAATCAAGGCAGGGCTTCGGCATTCTTTGAGCGTGGAAAGGATGACAAGTTAGCAAGAAGTTTAGTCAAAGTTTTATCTGATGTGAGCTGATAAAAACGCTTTTTTACGCATTAGGATGTGTGTACAGTACTTGAAGCGATTACATGCTGCAGAACAATTTAATGATTTGCTAAAATTTCAGGCCTTGCAAGACATACCAAATTGGCTTGAAGAAGTTGCAGAGCGGGCATTAGGAACAAACTACGGACCCGCTGGAGGGAAATTCGCTTCTCGCGATACAAGACAGGTGCGTGTATTACGGAGGTCAATGGCCAACATCACAAAAACGGTGAATTTGTAGAAGATTGTTATTTGTGCAGTTATTCACATCAATGTTGCATCATATGCGTATAGACAATTACTTAGGTTCAGCTCTGCCAATTCTCTTGGCAGTGGCTGTTTACATGATCCTGGTGGTGATGAAGTTTCAACTAGGGGCTTCAGTGTTTCATGAAGACAAATGATTAGGCGGAAACATACCCAAAGCATGCTAATAATGAAGCGTCAAAAACTTATTATACTTGGTCTTTTTTGGTATAGTTTGACCGGCGATATGCCAGTGGTGGAGGTGTTGGTGGAAACTCAGAACCTCGTCGCACAACTAATGTCTCCTTTGTAAATTCGTCCTCCAATTCACGACAAAATGAAGAGGATGAGGAGGAATGGGCATGAATATGTTCCAGCATTACGGAAACGTGTTTGGATACTCCAGGACTTCGTAGATGAAGCGAGTATCCGCAAATACAATATATTTTGGTTTTGTTTGTTGGTAAGTTGAGTAGCAAATGCTGATGTGTTTGTTGGGTAAAATATTCTACTTATCTGTCTTAAAGTTACATACGATTTCAGGGGCGTAGCTAGAACGATAATTTGGGGGGGGGGGTTGAATATTCATACATTCAGTTCTGCCCGAAGGATTTCTATTGTAAGCTATTACATTTACAATAGAAATCCGTCGGGCTGAACTGGATATATGAATGTTCACCCCCCGCCCCCAATTATCGCCACTGTACGATTTATATTGTAGTGTATAAGCACTTGGCAAACATTGAGTGTATGTAGTTCAGGTTACTTGCATTGTATCGTATATACTGCTTGCAAATGTTAAGGACATTTGGATGTCTACAAATATTCAAATGGTCGGGAAAAGTGAAAAAAAATAGTGCGAAGATGTGCTGCTTCATGGTATTGTGTTGTATTCATCAGGGGGAGGTTGTAGAAAACTCCTAACTTTATTTTAAGTGGTTAATCAGTTACATCAAAGATACACGTCTACCGTGTTCCAAGTATATTATAAATGAAATATAATGTAATACAACAGCAAACGTTATGCTTGCGAATGTGTGATGAAACATTTAAGTTTGATGTGATTGGTTTACTTATCACTGCGCGGTCCGCGTCAGAACTGCGCTATAGTCAAAAACCTAGCGTCAACTGAAAATCTCAGTCATGATTGCTTTATAATAGTGAATCTTATAATGAATTCCCGCTATTCGCGGTTTTTAGCATCCCAAGATCATTGTTCTGTATTGTACCGAATCCTGTAGCAAAAATACAGTCTTAAGCATATTTTAGGTTTTCTTTTTCTTCAGTGGATTTTGGTCCATAAATTGAGGTACACTTCGGCGTTTTCTCTGCGAAAACAAAATTATTTGATATCATCAATACGTGAACAACTAGTGCAGTTATTGAAGTCATTATATCTGACTGCAGCCAGGTTGTCGTGAAGTAACTAAATTGTTGTGGCATGGAAACAGAGATAAATATGGCGAATTCCCGTTACTCGCATGACCTCACCAAAAGTTTACAATTCACTAATGTAAAAAAATGAAAATGTAAGAAAATGCATCCAGGTATATAAGTGAAACCTACCGCATTAGCGGCTGCTAAAGGAGCTATTACGTTGTCGATCAAGGGTGTTGCACTGCCTGTTGTTGACGGAGTTATCTAGATATATTTAAAATTTTGTAGAAATGTTAGTGAAATATATTTAGTACGAAATCAGAGGCCGTGCAGAATAATCTATGACGTTTGTTGTCTACAGACTACAATGCATTCAGCCAAACTATATACTCATGATCAGCTTTTAGGTATATTTTTATAATGTGATTGCAAACTGTAGAGAACTTTTTCGCTATTCATTTCAAGAAATAGAGGAATTTAAAATCTACTTACGCCACTCAATGCCGCAATAGAAGATGGAACTAAAAAAAAAGAAAGTATAAAGTGTACCTTGACTGGAGTCTATAGTTGCTTTATTGAGGTACAAATTCTTAAGGTTGAGATTTCTGGTACAGTATAAGACTCCTTGCTGGCTCTAAACCTCTGAAGTGCTGTTATATAGCTCTATATTTATTTGACTCTGTTGAGAGCGCTGACATGTATTATATAAGTGGATAAGAGTGGTCGTGATATTTATTGTTTAAGCCTGGTTTCCATATGACGCCGACGTCGGTAAAGTATTATTGTCGGTGATTATTGATGAGTGAAATCTTTTGTCTTTCTGAAATCATTTTCTCCATGGATGATTACAGACAATGAGTCGGCGACAGGTCGGCGTCATATGGAAACCAGGCTTTAAATGTGTGTACCTGTTTCTATTATATCTTTTCCAGGCACGAGTGCCTCATATCTGTGCCTGAAAACACAACAATTATGCTGTTCAAACATTGCTGTATATAATGTTATACTACAGACAGTCGCACTATGTAGTGTTTCAAAGTACAGCAAAAATGGCGAGGTGTATAGACCAATTCTATCTAAATACACGACTTAATTGTGCAGTTAGTAAATGCAGACCTTACCTTAAAGATTGTAATTCAAATTCGCAATTCGTGGACGCTTGCTTTAGTTCATAAAGGAGAATGATGTCAGTTCTAAAACAAGCAAAAATATTCTTAAAAAGAACTTTAGCTTTAAAATCTCCACATTCACATGTTTGTTTTGCAATTTAATATACTATAGGTTACAATTTCCTAGACTTCATATAGAGATGATTCATAAACTGATAAGTTTACCTTAACTCGTTGAATTTCCTGCAGATTTCTTCCGTTGGCATCGGTACCAGTTCTACTCGATAGAAATTGAGCTGATTTTAACATGATATCTGGTGATTTTTTCTGGGTTAATGTGGGGGTCATTTCTTCGCAAAATATCGTCGTAAAGTATAGAAAACATTAGGAAAGTTTCTCTCACCAACTCTGAGTTCATCCAATAACATTTCGACCGCCTTTGACTTCTTTGTACCCACCGAGTTTGGCATTTTGAGCTAAAACGTATAAATAAAATAACGGTCCATACGTAATATAAACTATATCCCTAATAAACCATCAGTTATTACGCATGGCATTATCATATTCACAGCCAGTCAATTGCATTTTCCAGCCAATCAAAACATGCTGCTAAGTAACGGCAGCAAGTAATTGATTAAATATACAGCCTCGGGTTGCACAGTAAGACTGGGTGGCCCTATTGTTTTATCTCTACATTGTGCTACTTACACGGGAACTACGAAGAGAAACTCCAGCAGCTTTGTTTTCCGGAAACTTGATTCCAGTTCCCTCGATCTGAAAGAATACTTAATGTAAGTGCAGAAGCAGGGATGGCGGGCAGTTTCTCGCGGCTGATCTAACCGAGAGTATAATCATACATTGAGTACATTGTCTTATATATTCCTGTAAGGCAACATGCACGGCGTGAAAATTACGGCATCAGATTGTACATTATTACATAAAAAGAGAATGTGAATTCCTCCCAGTTTAATCTATTATAGCTACCGAAATATTGCAGTGCAGTACCATAGCTAGAGAGCTATCTAATCCTGCTAATTCACATACTCTCAATTGACATATTTCACAAAATACCTTAGCGGGTTTTTCAACCACTGCTTCCTTCTTCTTTGTTTGTTTCTTCTTAGTCTGGTTACTCGGCCGACTTTTCTCTTGGTTTCTTATACAAAATGAATTGAAATTAATTGAGAACCAACCACAACATGCCTCTAACAGCAAAATCAACCTAAATGCTTCGGACAGGATAGTTTCCTGTTAAGCCGATTAGTTGAGAATATTCATTGAAACGTTTCTGCTTGATCCCATCCACAGATAATTTTCGTACGTCGGCAGATATTGGCTCGTTTGAACATCGAAACTTCAATCGTATGCTCTAAGATCATGCTCACACTCTTATTGTGTGAGGATACTTACCTTGACTCCGTCGTACTCTCAGCTGCTGTGATGAGTTTCTGCAAATCTTGCTGCCTTCTTTCTCTCTCTTTTTTACGTATTTCAATCTTCTTTAGTTCAGCTAAAAGATACTCCTCTTCTTGAATCTTGAGGAGCATAAAGCAATCCACTTATAATACACGTATGTTGGTGATTACAAAAATGACAAATATTGCGTAGTAAATAGTGCAGTGTACAGGTATGGTGTGTAGAGAAAGGTACATGTATTCTTAACTGTGCTGTAATCAATTTGTAGTTGGATTGAGTTACTGTCTAAAAAGTAGAGCTAAGGTACTCGCTCACTGGTATTACTTTTGTTCTTATGGAAGTTAATTTCTTAGAATACAGTGTGAAAAAGCCTATACATCAACTGAATACTCACGTATGGTGTAGCCCAATGGATAGTGTAGTGCATACCATACAGTACCGTACCTGCTCAGGCGTTCTGTTAAATAATTTCAAGAGCTGTTTCTTGCGAGTTCGTTCATGTTCGGCGTCGTACGGTATCGGCAGGTTTTCGGGCTCAACTCCCGGCGGAGCACGACCCTATAACAGAAAATGACAGTACACCGACCATGTCCACATTTACAGCTTGAAAAAGCATATATATATGCAGTCGCCACAAGTACAATCAACTTCAATCCTAAATGTTATTAGCAATTTCTAAAATGCTAGATTGATGTAGCTACCTTTAAAATTCTGGTGACAGAATCATAATATCGATCTTTCAGATCTTCAATGCTTCTTTCCTATGATTAAAAAAAATTAAACATACAAACACGAAGTATACATAATTTCCCCATATCACCCATATATTTTTACCTTATATTTTTCTTTATCATATCTGTCATGTATTATGAAGAATCTCAAATCAAATCGTCTGAAATGGGAAATTTGCGTTTAGAGAAATCATAGTGGCTACCATGGTATGAGGGAGTTCTATATTATCCTGCAGGAAGTTGAAAGTATAATTTATGGCGTATCCGGACGATCTAAACTAATTTTTACAGGATTACCTGGGTTTTGTAAGGGTAACATAAAATGTTTATAATTACATGACATATTGTAGTGCTGTCACAGCGCACCTTGTTCAATATGCCAAAATTAATTGATATTGAGGAAATCAAAAACAAAATACAAAATTAGGGAAATTCTCGCTTTAATGAGTCGGAAATTTAAAAAGAATCAGAAATCTGTTTGTAAACTCTCATGCATGCATATGTTTATACACATTTTCATACGCATTTAAATGAAATTGAAAAATATCCAATGTACCGGCACATTTCAAATAAATAATCTGTTTCTTCTTTACTCCATCCAGACTGAGATGAATCAACAAGGTACATCTTCAATAGAAAAAAGTACATATACAGCCAATGAAACCATATAAAAATCTGTATTGACAGTAAAATTCTTAGCTACCTTTTTCTTATCTTAATTCACATTAACCCACCTTCTGAAATGCTTCATGTGATAACCATGTAGAAATAGGACTAAGCGCCGCTTTCTACTTACGTGTTTTTCATATGCAGCTACACACATTAAAAACATGCTTCTAAACATGGGTCAACAAATGCATATTAAAATATGCGAAAAAAAAAAAAAATTATATTTATTCGCTTAGCTTTTTCGAATATGACAGATTTTAACTTGTGTGTATGTGCATATGAAAAATGCGTAAGTGGAAAGCAGCCCTAAAACCCAATTACCTTGTATTCCTCATCAGTGTATTCTATCACATTCACTTTCTAAACAAAACAAACCCAATAGTTACGCTGATATAAATCTAAACATCTGTACATACCTACAGTAGCTATTATGTGTATCCTGTCTATCTATCCATGTATATCATTCTTTTGTAATGATATCCAATAGTAATTAATTTTAATGCTGTGTCATAAAGCAGAAATTCTTACATGCAGTTGACAGAGTCAACTTCCATCCTTCTATCTTGCAAGACAACTTAATTAGGTGTATAGACCTCAAAAGCATATATAGTGCATGTATGTAGTAATAACCTTATTAAATTTAGCAAATGGATAGTCTTTGCCTTCATCTGCTAATCTTCTCCAATGATGGAATACTGCACCATCTGTACGAGCTGGGTTGGTAAATGGCATCCATTTCCATGCACGTACATTTTTTCTGCCAAGTTTTGCCTTCACTTGTTTATAGCCTTGTCCAGTATCACTTGGCGCCAGTGCTGCTGGACCTCTACATTTGTCATTGAAAGAATCATAGGGAATTCATACATATTATTGTAGCAGAACATTCAATTTACATTGGTAATGTTCTTGGATACCGACTAACAAACACTAAAAAGAGAACTGTCAATTGCCAAATGTGAACCCCTGTTAGAAATTTTTTTAGTGTTTTGAACTCAAAACATTTAACAACAACCTGCAACTGGTTGTTGTTACACTAATACTTAATTCAAATGTTTTCCTCTCAAAGCAATACCAAAAATGTTATGTATTGCTCCTGGACCACATCCATATGATCAGATGAATACTGGAAAATCACTGTTCTAAAGTAAATACCTGCTATCACTGTACAGCAATGCATACAGTTCCCTATGCATCCCTTCCGGTCTTCGATAAGCTTCAACATGTCTCTTTGGCTTTTTCTAAAAACAGATTTTTAATGATTACGGGATGACGTATTTTCCAATCAAATATTACTACACTATGAACAAGAGGTTTGTCTGGATGTTAAATCAATAATGCCTTAAGAAGAGGTGTCAAACAATGCCAATGAAGGCACAGATCTGAAGTCGCCTGATCCTGTGATCCACTTCCCTTGTGCCAGAAATGGGCAAGATGGATTGTTAGGAATATACTATAAACACAACTTGCACACCCTTACAGGCTTATTTACAAATTTAGTTCATCGATATAGTCAAGTACAATATTTTCAAAACACTCTGAATTCTCTGAATGTACTCTGAAATATATGACATTCACTTCACCTTATTTCCAGCAACAATAGTCTCTTTAGTTGGTGTTCCTGTAGACGCCTGTTCAATTTCCAAGATATCTTTAACGTCACTCATATTTCCTAAGTACTCAACACCAAAATGAAACTCAGTTTTATACAAAAAACAACTAAACAAGTGATCTCACAAATATACATAATAAGTCGCCATGTTGAAGACAGCGCAAGAAGAATGGCACTAGGGGAAATATGGCGGACGATTTTAAAAAGCCACTGATTTCAACAAAACAGGTTTGTCACTTTGTTTTGCTTAAAATTCTTACCTGCAACAGTTTTACTTGCCTGTTGCATTCAATTTTTGCTTTACATAAGCAGTCGTATATATGCAAAGAACCTATAAAGCACGTGCACCTCCTGCAAATATTCTTACCAACAAAAAAGAAACAATGAAGTTTTGATATTCTTTAGGTATCGTGTAAAATCAATGATATTTCAACGGAGATTGTTTGCTCAGATTTCGGGGACAAATACTTAGTTCTTATTACACAGTATGGTAAAATGGGAACATTGGTAAGTGAAAGTTTGGGATGAAAAGAAATATAGTAAGATGATTGGTAAATCATTTTCAATTGTATGTAGGTACAGATTGGTAAAGAATCTCACATGATTAACAATGGGGATACCGAAAATATTGATATTAAAGTTTTGTTAGGAAAAGATGAGGTTTGTATTAACATTGGTGCCATAATCCCATAGGTACCAACAAATTACTTATCAATAGTATTTAAATATTTTTGAAAAATCTAGAGTCTGAAAGCATAAAAGGCTTATATTTCAAATTCATATATTACACAACAGTATGTATATGTATCCTAAAAAAGCAAATATTTTAAATACCTGGATAAAGTACATTTAATAATAAAATTATCTATTTATAAAGCCCCTAACCTATGTGTATGCAAAGCAGATTGGAAGTTCACTCTTTGGGCGTGGAATGATAAGACCTATTTTGTTGGGTATTGCATTTAAAGATCAAACACCAGAAACCTTAAAACAAGTTGTTCAATATATCGGAGAAAGTGATATCTTCTTGTAAATAAAATCATCATGATGGACTAAGTAAGATCTGGATTACCAAATACCTAATACAATCTCTTTTCTGGAACATTATGCTTTCAATGTCAAGCTTAAAAGACATCATTTATACTGGAAAAGTGGAAAACTGGAGAAGAGTATTGCACAAGCTTTGTGTTGAATAGCAAAAGAAGAAAAGTCTTGAAAATAATAATATTTCAACAGGCCTAATAGCAATATATTCTCATTGTGCATTTTGTGCATGCCCATGAAATTCTCCATTTGATAAATCTGTTTCTCTTTAAAATGATTGACTGGTCCTTTTATTTGGGATGGGGGGGATTTCCACAGGGAGCATTTTCTCCAACCTCGTTGCCTTTTTTCGCGCAATTTAGCAATTTTCGCGGAGGGGGGGGGATTATGTGACACCGGATATGATGACTACAGGCAAGTTCGCGGAAGCCCATACTTCCGACGCTAGATTTCTTGCGAATTATAATGTGCGATCAAGTATTCTCCAAATCCTTGTATATAATCGTTTTATTTCAAAATGAAATACACAGCTTGTGTTTTAAGGCTGTTTGTTTCTGAAATCATACTGGTTCTTGAATATCATTTACTCGTTGAAGGTACGTTTTCATTGAACTGATTTGCGCCGCTAAATTTTAAAGTTTTGTTAGTATTACTTAAGTTTACATATTACACTATGGTTTACACGACCGATTTTTGTTGAAATTTAAGGCGACACTTCGTTCTTTCGACCTATGAAGTGAATTAGTCATAGTGTCATAAATATTTATCTCTATATGCGTTTGTACGAAGTGTAAAGTTCCATTTTTATATGATAGCATCCCCCGATAGATCCCCCGCGTCTTCAGAATACAACGGGGTATAATAACGCTAAATCAGCGTGGTATAATAACGCTAAATCAGCGTTATCACTTACTCAAACTAGTGAATTATTCGGAAATGGGCAAAAATATTTTTCCCAAAGTTACTTCTGGTATGGTAAGCGAAGATTGAAGAGATACCGAAAGTCTCATCAGTATTAATTAACCTAAAGGCACTCGCAGGCCACCTGGGTACCCACTGATCTGTGTTGGTGCTTAGGCATTCGAACTCTAACTATGTGTTATGTTTAACATTGTTATGGATGATTTGAATAGTTTTGGGTTTTTTGGGACAAGTGACCGTGAAAGTATACAAAAAATCTCATTTCAATTGATTGTTTCCCTCATCAGCTACCCACGGCAAGAATGTCCTGTACGTTTCCAAGGCGCGTGGTCACGATGGCATGAACTCATGTCGCAACTCATCCTCGCCATGTCGAACCTTGAGTTACGTCATTAACATAACGACGGGAAATGACGTAATCATGTTGGACGCCACGAACACAGAGGAAATACCCTACAATACGTGTACATCGCGAGTAATTACGGGCAACTTAAGTTTCATTTCTTGGAGTGGATCAGCAATTATAAACTGCTCGGGGAAGGATCTATATTTTAAAGGAAATTCTACTGCGCTCGAATTTCATGGCTTGACATTTCGTGACACCTTTTTAAGAATGTGCGATGTTTCGTTGACCATAAATCATTGCTCATTTGTTTCCTTTCTTCAAAACGCAGATTTATACCTAATTAATGTCTCAATAATTAAACCGCAAGAGAACCTTCGAATTAGTATCAGCAGCACGAATATCCTTGACCAAAACACAGCTGGCACCTTACATGTAGCTAACCAACAAAATATTTCGGTTTACACGGAAATAAGGAACATTACAATCATCAACAATCGTTTGGAAAAGGCAATTAATGTCATCTCAATTCAAGGATATGTGAATTTCAAGTTTGTAAGTTCTGAAGTTTGGAATTTGACCTTCTCAAACTCCCAGCATATTTTGAGACAAGATCCATCGCTGGTTTACTTTTACGGATGCCGCGATCCGCCAGAAAAGCACCAAAACGTGAACGTGGACCCGACTGATAACATATTGAATAGGCTCTATTCACAAGTGAAAAGATCACAACAGGAATGGCTTGATGAATACGAACACGGATCATCGAGTTTAAATGAGGATTCGACCGCATCGTTCTTACTCGAAAATATGAACATTCTTCACAACTATGGCGGGATTGTTAGAGCGTCACTCTGTAGAAGTAAAATGATCATTTCTGATACAAACATTGTAGGAAATAGGAACAGAGGTAGTGCTGTTGTGATAGACGCAGGGTCTACCGCCGGAACACCGAACATTCTTTTCGAAAATACTTCGTTCGTATCAAACTTCAACGAAAACAAAGGCCCTTTGGTAGCGATGGTATCTGAATATATGGCTGCATCTATTAGAAACTGCACCTTCTCCCGCAACCAGGGTGGGGCAGTCTATATCTCGACATCTAAGAGCAGCAGAATAACGTTTAAAAGCTCTTATTTTCTGCTCAGTAACTCCTCGTCTGCATATGTCGGGTCGCATTGCGGTGCGCAAATTTGCGTTATGTATTACTATGAGAAGAGTAATGACGACCACGGAGTCGAACGGGGAAGTAGCCGTGACTGTCCAATGATTCGAAATAGAAAATCAACTGGAACCATGGGAGTAAAAGGTGCATTCTCTAAAACAAATGTTAACTTACCTGTGAATCTGACAGACCTTTTGGAGACGAGAGCTGTAGACCAGGGTTTAGAGGCTAAGGGGCTCCGATACCGAGACCCAAACTGGACAAGAACTTCAGGAACTTCGAATACGAGGACTGAAGTTGTTGATGCTGAATTTAGCGCATTTTTAAGAATTGCTAACGAATCCACTAAAAAAGGACGTGGCTTCAAATCAGAAAGGGGTACGCCTTTTGAGCATGGGGAAGACCGTGATCCTGGTTTGTTTCTTGAGGACTGCAAGTTTCGTTATAACATAGGATCTCATGGCTCCAGTAGCGCTGCTTTAGAAGTACACTCAGGACCTTATGTTAGCCTGGGGGTTAGCCCTCCCTTTTACCTACACGTAAAAAGGTGTGTATTTGTGGGTAACATAGCTACAGATGGAACTGGGGGAATTTACTTTGCTGGTGATTTTAGAGTCAACATCTCTGACTCAACGTTCCAAAACAATGCCGGATCAACGTCAGGCGCTATATACTTCTCTGGTTCAACAATCGTTCTTCAGAATTGCACATTGGACAGTAATTTCGGTGGCTATACTGCCTATACCCAGGCTACCGGCAGCGTACGATTCACGGCGAAAGGCACAGCATTTGTTGAAAACACGCGAATAATCCAACCGAGTATAGTGAGAACAGTATCGAACAAGACCTTCCATGGCAGTCTTGCTCTATCAAGCGATGCATTTGATAGAGTTGTCTTGGTGAATTCTGTTTTAGATTACCGGTGGTCCCCCTCTCAAGAGAAAGTCATAGTGCTAGAGATAGCACACACCAAAGATTTTGTGCTCAGTGAAGGTACATCTATTAAATGCCCTCGGGGGTATAGGATCAGACGTCGCACAATTAGTGAATCTGAAGAGAGTTTTGAATGTTATCTTTGCAGGATGGATAGCTATAGTGTTGACCGTGGAATATATAAGTAGGTATCTTAATAATGATTTTTGGCACCTTACTCGTTGTAGGTAAATTCTAGGGGTTGGAAGGGTCTTAATTTCGAGTGGAATTCGAGTGAAACACACTTCAAATTCAAGTCAGGAATTTTTCCATCAACTGTTCCTGGCTTGAATTTAAAGTGTGTATAATTCCATTCGAAATTAAATTCATCTTGCAAGCGAAGGTCCAGAAATACGGCCATCTTTTTTATTATTGATTAATTGTTGGGCCTTATTGCGATCTTACCCTATGTCTGTTCTTCATCATCTAGAGTTAACGGAAGCCAAGTCTTGGAATGCTTACCATGTCCTTATGGAGCAAGGTGTACAAAAGACCTTGAAGCATTACCAAATTTTTGGGGTTACAAAATTCACAGCGATCCGGCTGTAATAAAGTTTTCTCGATGTCCAATGGGTTACTGTTGCCAGATCGCAGGGAAAAAAAAAGGGTGTGTTCCTTATAATACATGCTACCATGGCCGATACGGCAGACTCTGTGGTGCGTGCATGACCGGGCTTACGGAAACCCTATTCACACCATCATGCCGAAAACCAGAAAAATGCAAGGACTATTGGTTTTGGCCTGTAGCGGGGGTCTTTGTGTTAGGTTTCACCCTCTACCTCCTAATCCAACCTGATATATTTGGCATTATGTACCGCTATATAACCTGGTTTCGGTCAGCAATACCCACGGACGTTGAACCTGAATCCACCTCAATATCAGGCTTGGAACACATTGTCTTCTTTTACTACCAATCCGTTGATATCCTGACCGTGCAGAGTTCTAAAAATTTCGTCTGGAATAACCATTTTACCCAATTCACGGTGGGTTTGTTTAATTTTGATCCTCGCCTAAATCGAGATGGGTTTGCTTGTCCCTTTCCAGGTTTGAACCCAGTGTCTAAACTTCTTTTTCGTGCACTTGGTGTGGTTTCCGTTCTCTTCGCAATTCCGTTTATTTTTCTGCTACACAAAGTTGCCTCCTTATTTCTTCCCCTACGCCCACCTAAAATTGCCGTCTACTTATCAGCCTTTCTTAAAAGCGTGCTTCTTGGCTATAATGTGCTCGCTCGGAAAAGCCTGACTCTACTGCATTGTGTTACTGTTGACGGTGTCAATTGCTTGTTTGTGAATTGTAACATAGAGTGTTACACCTGGTGGCAAAACCTGATATTGACTTTGGTTTTTATCTATTTTCTCCCATTCGTCTTTGTCTTGTTCTTTGGTGCTAAAAAACTGTACGGAAGACATATTTCCGTAACTCATCTTCTTCTTGCGTTTATTTTCCCTCTGCCCTATCTCTCATACTGGTTTTTAAATCAACGTCGTCTCCGTGAGAGAATCATGCCGGATACAGATGGGCGCAATGCAGTCTCCTTGATTCTCATTGGTCCATACCGTGTTCCAGATCACGTCAGCGCTGGCGCGATTTACTGGGAAAGCGTCCTGATTGGTCGAATGGTTGTTCTTGTTATCGTTGCTGTTTTAGTCAAAGATCCGTTCTTAAGCTCTCTGGCGCTATTACTTCTATGTATCATGAATATTTTACTACATATTTATGTCCGTCCTTATAAGAGTGTTTCAGATAACCGTGCCGAAGGTATATCGCTATTCTGCCTCGTGCTTATGGCATTGTTAAACCTTCCTTTCATGGCTTATCTTTCGGAAGGTGTCCTTCCGGCAGGCCCAATGTCACGTGTTATGGAAGTTTTTACGTGGTGTCAAAACTTTCTCGTCTGTTTTCTCCCACTAATTTGCGTTGCTCTTGTGATTGTTGCTTTCCTTTCACAAGTTGTGAGGTTGATTTTCTTCTTTACAAAAAGCATTCTTTTTGCGTGCACTTCTCTTGGTTCATGCTGCTGTTGGCTGACAACGATATGGTCACAAGGAAAACCTGATGACCTTGACACATTCATAGAATAATAGTCCGACACGAACATTCGAACAAAAAATGCAAAAATGATTGTTATCTCATAGTTTTTTTGTAAAACATTGATTATTAATACTACACCAATCCGATCAGTAACACGCTGGATATAACATCAATACTCTACTATTCTCAAGAACGAAGCCAGGATAAATGAACTTTGGGAAACGCAAAACAGAGAAAGATGTAACCTGGAGATTGATTTAGAACCTAATTTTTAGAACCGTGATCATTATTGCGCTAAAGACTGCAATTCAGATCTAGTTTTTGTTGATGGTCGGAAATCGCCTTTTCTGTAACAATCTTTATAATATTCGTATTTCGGCTGTATTTTATATATGTCAGCATGATTGGACTAAAAGTAAACTGTATCACTGCCTATATTTTTATTTGTATAGATGGAATTTGGCTGGGCTTCTATGTTCGTCTTTGTCATTGACGAGGCGTCTCTTCAATAGCATTTATAATATATTCATATTGTTTATAATGAACAGAAGTCGGTTAATCTTCAATTCCAATGCTTTCCGCTCTTGTCGTTCTTTCTGAAAAATGCATGGTAACTGACGACAAAACCAATCTGCAAGCGTGGTTTGCCATGGATAACTGTTCTCCAAGATCTCTAAAAGATAATAATCTCTTGGATAAAATATCATTTAAATTTACCATTTCGAAGATACAGTGGGAGACTGGTAAAAGGCTATTTCCGGGACGGCTATTTTGTTCAAGTCCCCAAAACAGTTCCAAACAGCAAAGTACAGCAATCTCGGGAATGGGCAATGATCGAGTGGTCAGCGTACGTCATAAGAATAGTAAGTCCTACCTTCATCATGCAGCCTCTTGTATTTTGTAGCCACAACTTGACGAAATGCCCTCTGAATAATTCTCGCACCTTGAAATCCAAAGCATGAAAATGCACTCAACGTGATACACATGTGTCCAAATTGCTTATTCGCTGGTTAAAGTTCAAAGAAAAACCACTTCCTCAAAGTTCACAGTAGGAATTTCTTTTGAAGTTAGGTATCACTCATAGAATTGTACTTCAGGAGTGTTGGAGTGAAGTATACCTGAACAGTTAGCGCTTTTCTCTTGTTCCGCATATCGTTTAAAAAATCCCTTTCGGTCGGGAAATTCTGACTAAACTGAGTGATTTTTGCTCGATCCTTTTCGATTCTTGCATGGTCACTACTTGATAGAGACTTACCTTTATCTTTTTTTGCATTTGTTTCTTTATGTTTTTTCAGCCACAGACACAAATATTTCCGTATTGTTGTTGGTGGAAAATTTCTCTATAATACAGAATTCACTAATTCCATCTCTCTGAAACCAAACAGTCTAGCTCTCTTTGTAATCACAAATGACAGATGACTATGGGTCAGTTAAAGGTGTCAACTTCTATGGCCCATTGCAAGCGCTTGATTGCGTCTCACGACTACTTTGAGTTAGTCGGTGAAAGTTTAAGATGTCATGGTTGTGTCTTATTGATCCAAAGAGAATTCAAAAATTTTCAGCGTTATTCAGAGCAAACACGTATAGATCAGCTATGTAATTATAGAATCTAACGCTCACAAAATCTCCAAAGTCAAAGACCAAACCTTTGGCGACGAACTGTTGTTCTGGTGTGAAAAATCGTTTGCAACCAGCAAAGCTTGACTCATGATTTTCTTGACCCGAGTGCAGTTATGTTGCTGCTTTTTCTGCAAACGAACCTGCGACCCGATATCATGATGATGGATACCGTGCGTTGTTTACGAAATATTCATTTTTGCATGCGTGTAGTTCTCGTGAATGTTTTTAATTAGCTAATTATAAGTCGGCTAGTTATGACGTCATGGATCGAAAGAAAGCCTGACGGGTGTTTGTTGGACTTCTCGCTTTTTCAACTTTCTTCAGTATGATAAAGTAGATTAACCACGCTGATACGTATACTGGGACTGGACAAAGCATCTACTATGAATAATTAAAGGCATTTTGAATGGCCGCAATAAAATCTAATTTGTTGGTGGAAAGAATAGGATTGATGTCGCGAGGCTTCTAGTTCTATACGTTTCTGATGCTAGCGATGCAAAGGAAAAAATTATTTCAGATCAATTATTTCAGATTATTTTTACTGATAGCCTCCTACGGTATCTAAATGTGCCGGTGAATAACTAATATTGGAAACTGCATTGGAAAATTCACATATTATTACTTCATAGCTTATTCAATTAAAAAACTGATTGATTAAGTCTAGACCAGAAATTCATTGATTTTTATTACTTAAATTTCACCATTTCACATATTTTAGTAATACTTATTAAAATTATAACGCGTTACGACTTACGATAATAAAAGGGATCCTATGCGCTGCTTAATCGAAAATCTAACCATATCCGTGAATCATTGTATTTATTAATTTCATAAACAATCGCACTATTTAGGGAACTTTGACGTTCTGTTTGACGATAAAGTTTGTCGCCATTTAGTCTACTTTCCCTCTTATTTTACAAATTTTGGTTGGCAACAAATCATGTAGCAATCACCAAGGCTTTAAACTTGGTAGACGAGATAAGATTGATCCTCATATTTTCTCTACGGCGTTTTAGAGCTCAGATTACATTTCAGCAAAGCCTCTTCATATGATAAATTGGGAATAATTATGTTCGAAGAGCGCGTTTTTTTTCAATAAGCTCGATGTCAAGTGTTATTCGTTAGTTGAATTACCATGCCATATATAGGCGCAAAGGTTGATAATACCAATTTATACTTTTGCCATATTTTGAGGAAAGATTCTTTTGTGAATAAATTTTTTCTTTTGCAATGACGTTTTGGAAACTATTATAAAGACACAGCAAACCCACACCTAATATAATTTAATACAAAAGAGATGCCTGCGGAGGAGGCTAAAAACTAACCTACTCCAACCATTTCTCAGAGGATAACACATTTAATTAAATCCGCAAATTAATAAAAATATTACGCAAACATAAGAAACTCTTGGGTGTGACCCCGAAGATTGTAGCTTGCTGTTGGGCAGGGCTGCATGGGCGATAATATAAAGGTGTTATGGTACCAAACGAGAAAAAGTTTAACACACAATTAAAATCAATGGGAGAGGAAGAGATATGTATAGCTAGCCATGTAAGAGCGAGCATACAATTCGGGGTTAATATATATAGCACGAGTGATATGTTTGAAAATTTTCTAAGAATTTGACGAGCCACTAGGGCGAGTTCCATTTGGAAAAATTTTCAAACATTACGGGTCGAACATTTCGATCGTGTAAGTAAATTGCTAAATTAAATTTTTTTCATTTGGCAGCCATTCATGCATCGACTAAATTCAGAGAATACTTCATCTTATTCAACTTGAACGCAAGACGTAAAAGGATTCCAAAACGTAATCCTTATGGAATAGCGAACCAATGCTAAAATTTACAAATTACATACCCTCGTTACTGGTCTATTAGTTTAATTGCTTCTTAATTAAAAGCCAATACTTTCTATATTTTCGTGCCACGAAACCATTATTAAGGTGTAAAGGTTAACAGACCATAAACATTAAGCGTCGCAAACTGTGCATTTGGAAATCATCTGTCATGTAAGAAAATAAAGAAATCTGGACCGCGATGACAAACTTCGCGACCTTAATTTGTCCTTTTGACAGCGGCGGGAAATATCGCAAGATCAAAGCAACTCTAATGAAAGACTATGCACACGTGTGCAAAAAAAACTAAAATGCAGCAGATTCAACTTTACCTGAAACTTTTTTTTTAATAATTATCTGCATAAATATAACCTGCATCTTTATGTATATAAAGATTTTTCTGTCAGTATTTGTGTCAACAATCGTCAGTTTCGTGCGTCATACCATGACAAAAAAAGCTCAAAAAAGAATGTAAAACCTATTTGTTATTATCCTGTTATTTTCCACGGTACTCGTGAATATAGATTACCTTTACTGGGTTTAGCGTCATGTTTATGACACACCATTAAGGGCTGCTTTCCACTGTCGCGGTTTTTACGTGCAAGTATACGTACACGCACGTAAAAGTTGAAAATAATTTAAATGATACTTCACGAACCGCCATCGACTTCACTTATTCATAGCAGATGCGTCGTCCAGTCTCAGTATACTATTGGTAGCGTCATTTATGCTAAACAGCAGCAAAGCGGATATTGCCCACAAGAACCGGCGTATGAGAATGGCTTTGACTTATCTCGGAGCTTCAGAGCATTTGATCAATTATGGATACGATATTTATCACGGGTAATTCTATGTTAGAATAACCTCTGGGTTTTCTGCGACAAATGGCTTAGCTTCGTTTCCAGGTAACTCGGTTGTCTGGTGCTGAAATCTGAAAAACAACAATAATGCGTTCACCGCCAACGCTACGACATTACCGAGCAATTAAGACAGACGGTTTAATACCCTTCAAACTCACACAGCATTGCTAATTATTGAAATGAATTCAACCTTGTAATTGTGTAATTTTCTCCGAGAAAGGTTTATTATCTCTATTGGTGTGTTTATTTTGCATCCGGTCCAAAAGATGCCTTCACTAAAAGATGTTTTAACGAGGTATATTGTCCCTCAGTTGGCTCGAGTAAATTGATTAGCTGTTGCATATGGCCTAGCAATTTACTTTAATTCTCTTTTCTTTTCTACCCGACAGTCCCTCGAGGCCATGTTTTCCAGCCGGCATTTCAGTACACCGCGAGTTTAAATTTAATTTAAGATAGCGCTGCCTCTGCAAGTACATGCACTCCTCGGGGCATGCATCGACCGTAGAATTGCGTTCTGTGCATGGATTCGGTGTATACGAGAGTGCACCACAAATGCAAGAAAAATTGCGAGACCAAAGTGGGCCAAACGTGCACACCATGAATACAGCCTGCACACCTCAGGTAAGCGGTGATAGACACCCACAAGGGCCAGGTCACCTACTTCCCCCTAAAGAATACTATCATGCAGCTATAGCTAGTGGTTCATTTAGTAACATTAGTATCTGCAATTTTACAGTCGCATTAAATGCATATAGGCGCGCATAATTCAGTTAACGAAAAATATTATTTTGTTGTGAACAGATCGTAGGCCAATTACTATACAGAGCTGAAGATAAAATGGGGTTAATTGATGGCTAAAGTTAGTATGGAGATCCTCATAAATCTATATATATATTTGTATGCGCAAGTTTGTTAGTACAGGCAACCAGAGAATGAAAATGAATATGTTTGCCACTGATTTTTGACACTTGCTTGTAGTTACTATAACAAAATTTTAAGTGGTTAGCTCCTTAGAGAGCATGCATAACATCCATTCATTATGCAGACATCCATGCGGAAATGCATCATATGAGATAGTCTTTATGGCAGTCAGATTTGTGTGAAAATAATACTGCATCACATTGCATATATATGCGTGTATCACTAGTGGGCTAATCCAGTGAGTTTTTTCGGGGGGGGACAATTAAACTCTCGTGACACGCTTTAATGAATTCATCTTTGTTTACAATTTTTGTGGTTTTTCAAAACAACCATCATCATTAAACATACACAGGCGGTATAGATGAAGTCTCGTTGATATGACTATCTTAACAGGACTCGTTTATTGAAAATGAGGTAATTAGCATTCCGTGTAATCAGGTGCCTTGTGTAATTTTAGTTTGTCTCTATGCTGTATGGTATTTGACCTTAGTTCAAATCTTGTCAACCGTATAATCTATCTTGTTGTTTTATACCGGATTTCACACTCTTGAAAATCAAGAGATTGCTAAGCTGATCCTTTGCGTTGGGTCTGGTGCATTTAGAAAGATAGCTATATCAAACCGTATACAATACGATTTTATAAAAAAAACTCTATCAAAGGCCCAAATATAACTCCTTTCATAGCAGGAAAATCGTGTATTTTTCCGGATACGAGGCAGGAACATTCGCCCAGCTGTTCATTAAAAACCATGATTACATGAATTCTTTATCAGTATACGTGCACTCTGTTTTGACATTGTGTTTTATTGTTCCGTTTTCGGGCCGTTTTATCATCTTAAACACTTGGTCATTGGGCGTAACCTTAGTTTATATCGCATCATTTCGCTCCCAAAGAAGGATTGATTCGAGTTATCTACTTTACACAAAATATTCTGTGCTTGTCTTGTTGGTATAATCTATATGGAATGAAGAACAGGATTTTGAACCATTCACGGAAAATATGGTTACAGCCAGTATTTTGTATCCCTTAACACCCGCACTGGCTCACGAAATTAGAAGCAATTAAGTTCTAGTTTAATAACTTTGTATATGGTATACTGATATCACACCACAGTATATATATATAACTTCAATTCTTTCAACTGTCGTATAGCTATATACAAATAATGAACAAGGTCAAAATATGGATATACTGCATAAATTCAAGTTCACGGCATCTTTACTGAACTTTATGAATATACTTCACAAAGTATTCATTGCCTTTGTCCTTTTCTGATTTTTATGAACCTGTGATTTTAGTCGGGCGGATTTTTCAAAATTTAAAATTCATTTCATTCTACGATTATGCTCTTTATAAACCCTCGAGCATATAATCGGTCTTTTTTATTGAGTTCTGCCGCCTTCAAAACCCATCAATGGTAAACCGTTGATTGTTCTATTTTCTCCATTCTTTTAGACTGTCAGTATCGTGAATAGCATGCACGCTCATTTTTTTCAACTTCACCTTTTTCACCTACGATAGGTACTGACGTTGTTGACTGATTTATGATGCTGTATTTAGCTGAAGACTTGGCAAGCGAAGTCGAAAGCTGGAAAATACATTATAAAAACCGGATATGAAAATATACCCGCGCGAAATGAAGAAACGTACTCCAGAAATTGCTGTTCATATTTGCATGTATAGTCTCGCGCATATTATGCTAATAATAACCTTGGTCTTGGAATAAAACAATCGTTTTCTAAATTCATTGTTGAAGCTATATTAGCCAGAAAAAGGTCTTCCTTTTCCAAGGTCATTTCTGGCTCTAATTCAGGTATATGGCTTGCTTGATTTAGCACCCTGATAGCACGAAGTCTGAAGTCGTTTCATTTATTCGCAAATTCTGTTTGCATGTGTGGATAATCGATAAATATATGGCTTATAAAAATTATGCTTTATTGCGAATGGTATATATTTACCATCTACACAAGCCAGTCAAGAAAGGATGACAAAATATATATAAGAAAGAATCAGTGTTCGCCAGAACATGTCAAGGTTTTCAGTTAGCTCGCGACACAAATAATTGTGTGTGCAAGTAAACAGTATATGAAGCAAAAGTTTCTCGACAAAATTAGAAAACTTTTGTGTGCCTCTGTTATCTTTCGCAACATCTTACGACCTATGTGTCTTAGACGATTCCTCAATTTGTTATACGAATATATCTACAAACTCAATTCATCCTTTAGCCGGAATCCAAAAAGAAGCGAAAAATTTATGTACATGCAGAAACATTAATCTGAGAGAAACTTATAGCGCATGTTACGAGGCAAAAAAATGCGTTCAGGAGCAAGCTGTTCCTGCACGATATATGTTTGTATAGACGAGGGAAGCTATAAATCTCGTTCGTCTGTCTCTCTTGAGTGAGAATCCACTTGACGTCTTTATATCTCCCGTGTGCGGGAATCTAAACTAAGACGGTGTACAATTCAACACAAATGCAAATTGAAGAACACATTTTGCTGTTTCATTTCGACGCATATTTTGTCCGACCGTGTATGTATACATTCTTGTATAATGTTGAACAATTTATATATATACTCGGCCTGTGCGAATGAAGGGACACTCGTTTTATTATATAAACTTCGCAGAGGATTGTTGCTCAAAGTTCAAATAGTGCTGACACCTTAACGCATGCAGTCTATGTTGTCCTTGTGTTCCTAAAAATGATGTTTCTTGCCTGGTACAATCCATTAAACATCAGGCATTCAAAAGTGCATTTGTGTCCAAAAAAAGACTCAAGTTCATTGTATACAATGCATATTTGGTTTCTGAACCTACTTTCGTTACACAAAGTTCATTTTTCAGCTATGTGATAACACCTTGCGCTAAAAATGTTCAAATACGATACGCTTTAATTAATATCATTGCATGCAGTTGCTTCTTGTAACCGACCACATTTTTCAATCCCAGCCATGCATGATGGCGTTACGAATGAGCGCTTTATTTCAATTTTAACAAATTTAACCAGAAAGCTTAAAGATTTACCCATAATATTTAGAATTGAGAACATTTTGCCAAATTAGAGATCGCGAGACTGCGCTATACTATTGCAAAACGTACCCTCCACAAATATATATGTTTATTGAAATGAGGCAATATGGTTAAAAATTCATATAGGATGTCGAACAACTAGAAGTTGCTTTATTCTAGATTTCCCTGAAGAGTGCATTCATTTTCCTGAACACAAAAAGAACTAATTTATTAGCTAAGAGAAAAAAAATATAGGTCGGTAAGCTAAACTATATCATGTACACGATGACATACAAAAGTTGAACGGATTGCCTTTTTTTAATGCACATATGCATGGGCGGTTCCGTCAAGGTCCACGTACGAATTTTTCTCACACAAATGCTTTTCATCTCTCATGCCTCTCTAGAAGTTTCTCCAAAGTAAATAATAAATATAGCTCTCCTATCTTTCGTTTTCAAAGCAATTTTCCCGACTATCTCTTCCGACCAGAAGATTGGAATGAATTTACTTTTCAACACTGAAAGGATTGAAATATTGTTTGTGTTTTGCTTCGTATAATTTGTATTTTCGCCGTGTGTATGTAAGCCTTTTCCAAATAGATATTTGCTGAAGAATAATAACTGAACATCTGGTCTTTCAATTGCAAAATATTACGCTCCTAAACTATATGTAGCCGTAGAACTTTAATTACATGAATTGAATTTAAAACAAATCCGCGTGTTTTCGTTCAGTCATCATAATTAAATTGGCCACAGGTAATTTTCTACTAAAGTTGAAAACGTGACTGATTTACCAGGGAATAAATTGATTTACACTTCTTTTATACGGCAAAATAATTCAAACATAAAACTTACCCTGTGGGTATGATGTCAATATAAGTTTATCACAGGAACTCGTGTCTCCGTCGCCTTCATACACTTCCAAATGACATCTACAAAATTAATGTTAAAGACATTCTCAAACCCTGTCTGTTTCTTTTTCGATAATTTTAAAGAACGGACAATTTAGTGTTTATAGATAAAGAACGTACTTTCTTTTCCTCACCTTTGATACAGAGAAAACCATCTGTTTCTTTCTAAGTACTCAATGGCTGTAATATCGCTTAGAAAGCGATGACCTATATCACATGAGCATTAGACTGAAAGTTCTGGCAACTTAACAAGAATGCTCTCCGGCAGACATAAGTATACCCCTGATAACTTATAATATTTTATTGCTCTTCGCTCTTATATACATGCAATCTATACAAGTATGATTGTTCGATATATTTAGCATATACATACACTTTATGGACAGAGAGTTATCAGTACATAACAGTGTTTTGTTTATAACCCATTCAAGGGCTCAACCCGCGAACTTTAAATCAAATAAATGGTTGAAAGTTACGTTCTTGGTGCTGTAGCAGTCATGCATGTATCATATCGTTACCGCCTTGTCACGGCACCCCAACAGCATGGAATATTCGTCAGTTCGTGAGTTATTTGTTCTTGATCACACCTTGTCGAAAAACAAGCGAAATTACTCCAAGTATTTTGTCTGTTTAATCTCCCTGAAACCAAGCGCCTTCCATTCTCCAAACACTGAAAGCATAGCTCAATCGTTCATGCGCTAAGAAGCAGCTGCTAGCGGCTGAGTTTGGATGTTTTTCATCATTTCCCAGGACTTGACAGAGGAAATCTATATAGCGCGTCGCCAAGCGTAAAGTTTGAATTTTTGACAACTTATCAGACGGCAGAGTTGGGATTATTTTGCGTAATTTCGCAAATGACTCGTTCAAAGCCTGTGTTCTCATACGTTCCCTCACGTTGGCGATGCAACGCTGCTCAGTCTTTGCACCCCCTCCCGATTCAGAACCAAGCCGTTTCTTCGAGCGTTGACCATTACCGCGCCGTCCTTTTTTCTTCCCTTGTGCTACCTCCTGTCTCTCGCAATCTGGTAAACCCATGGTTTTATGTCGATGTAACAGCCCTAAGTATTAGAGAGTCGCTTGTCCTCACTTTGACTGTCAGCCGCGAGTTTCGGTTTGCCGAACCGTGTTGGTTTGCGTCAAGCCAATGACCTGCCACGCACCGCTGTGAAGTCTTAAATAAACAAAGGTCTAAGTTTACACGCAAAGACAGATGAAATCGAAGCTTGCAGGGAAGTCATTCGCAAAGCCAATCAGCGCTCTAGCCAGGCTCACCATTGTGTCAATGGGATACTTGACATGTATTGCTGAGTTAATTGTGTGATATAATTATGAGACACTGATACCGAGCCGCACGTCAACTTTGCACAAACATTAAAGGAAAGCCGACACACCATGAAATATGCGTGTTCAAGACGCGAAAAATGCAGATGAGAAATCGTGCGCGGCCCCAGGGCTAATTGAATCTCTTTTTTCGTATTATGCCGCTAAATCTAGCAATATTACCATTATGATTTGAACAACTTACCTGTAGGGTCTGGCAAGTTTTGTAGTTTTCACAGCTGGCAAGTGGCTACACAATCTCGATCTATCAATTATCACAGGGGTGAGTATAAACGAAGCGGCGGGACTCCTGGAATGTCCACGACATTTTTGCGTCTGCCCTCGTGGATTCCACCTCGTGGAGCAGGGCCAAAAATAAGCATTTACTGCTAATGAAGTGATCTGATGAGTGCTTCAAGTGTTCAATTACACGAGGTGAAAGATGGCAAGGATCCTTGATCTTAATCAAGCTGTTGACCTCTCAAACACTTTGTTAAACACTTCAAACCCTTTTCGATTTCAATGCATTGTTTACACACTATCCTAGAGCATTTTTAATACACAAGAAAGGAGAATAGAAGAAATATGATATGTCATTTGGTGTCTGAAATACCGTTGGTGATGCAGTGAGTGCGCATGAGTACAGTGCCCGCGGCCGGTTGTCGTGACAGCTCTCTTATGCTTCAGAGTTCAGCCTTTGTTAAGGCCTGGTTTTTACTATAAAACGTCATGATTAAAAAAAAGTTTACAAATTAGCTCGGCCAAAGGTTATTCTTTTTCGTGGGACAAGCCTCTTCATCTTCTAGACGAAACTTGGGTGTATTGATTTATGTAATTTGCGCAAATAGTAATAAGTAGTTTAAATAATAAGCGTGCTTGACACTATATAAATATAGCATGCTGCTGATAATGATGGCTTGCTTCTTGACAGTTCAATCTGTATGATGACGGATAAGAATTTATTCAGGTCGGTTTTGAGGAGAAAGACAGGACAGGTACAGGCTTCGATCGAGTATGAAATTAATTTAACGTCACGCTCGTGCTAAAAATTCTCAATTGATTTTCGTTTTCATCGTAAACATCTAACTCCCTTGACAAAGGCGCCAGAAGTTTTATCTTCATTTTTGACAGTTGAAGAACAGTCGGACCGTGTTGTTGTCAATACATAGTGCTGGAAACTACAATCTATTCTTGTAAATTAGATACGTTTCTATATAACCAGGGATCAAGCAACGTCTTCGAATAACTTCTGGTCAAATATGCTATGACATTGCTGCATGCATGCTTGGAATGGACAAAAACCTTTCCGAAGTGCCTTTGGTCGAATCGTCGAGGTGTTTTTCTCATCACTTTTATAGGCAGTTGTGCTACCATGCACATTTGATGAGACAATTTTTTACCGTCTAGTCTTGATGATTGAACTGAATTAGTGACTGCCATGCAACTCATGAACTGGATTGATGAAACTGAATTTCGGTCATTTACTTAGGTCACTGTTAAGGTATCTTGGTATCTTCTAAGATATCTATCACTTTCAGGTATCTGGCACATGTTGACCGATATAATCATAAATTTGTACACTCTTATTGTCATATGAAACATTTCATGTTCTGCAACAATACTTAATTACATATACAAGTAATATCTCTTTTCGAAAGTTTGATGACATTCAGGCACGCGTGTGTACAAGTTTACCGTAAAACAACAATTTAGCTAAAACACAAATGAAAACTTTGATACTGCGAATAAGATTTCCTTTCTAATCCGGATGTTGTTTAGCGAGTTTTAACACAAACGGGATTTCCGTATTGTTTGTTTATCCAAAAATGTATCAGGCACACAAACCAACTTGTCGGAAGGGATTTCATGCAGTTGATCATATTGTCCAGGCGATATTTATTTTTCACTTTGGACCCATTAATGATTAATTATGTTTCAATGAGTTTGATAGGATGTCGATTTAATGATGATTGAATAATAAATATTCCCACATTTTTCTTTTAAAGTAATTCATTTTTATACTAAGGTGGTTTTATACGCAAGGATGAGATTTCCTTGTTTTTCGCATAAAAACAGTAACGTGGCTAAGAAACAATAATTTTCAATTTTGTTCTATATCAAGGAAACATTGGATTACAAGCGTTTGATATTTCAAATTTACGAAAATTTTCTATTAAATTATCACTTTGTTTAACTGCTAAAAACTGGTACTGCCTCTTTATCCTGAAACCCGTCCCAGTTCCCTATATTATATATTGACCTAAAGACCATACATAATTCGTGCCCTAACTTATTTGTTGATTTTCCTGTATACATTTTTTAAGACTGAAACGTCAGTTGGTCCAACAGAATACTGACTTCCAATTGGCAATCCTTTAATCCTTCCGGGGTGTAAATTTGCAATTTTTTAAAACTGTTTTACTGAGAAAACAATTGTATAGGGTGAACTAACTATTTAAATGAAAAACTACTGGTTCTTCCCTAGTGCTTTAGAGACTCTTCTTGTTGATAATTGCACAACAACTACAACTAGTTTGAAGCCTTTAGGTCATAGCAGGTCATATATATAGGATATATATAGGTTATATGCAGGCAAGATACGAGATTTATTAATCTTTTTGAGACCTGCAGCTAAATTAAAAAAGACTGCAACTAGATTAAAAAAATTTAATTTCGGTTACAAAAAGTATATTTTTCTGATTTAATTGAATTCACTGAGGAAGATCCGGAGTACCGGAACTTTGTAATAGCGCGTATATGTTCGTATATGTATCGTCTCGGTCATATCTGTCGATATTGTTGTTACTCCCAGGCAACCGACTACAAGAAAGTTTAAACAATGAATTCGCCTGAATAGACACATCTCGAATTTGCTTGAGTCCACACAAAATAATAGCTTGGAAACCAGGCGGGCAATGTTAGCCATTGTTAGTGGCATAGTTTTCATTGTCCCGGAACAAATTCGGGAAGTGTCCAGTGTCGTAGCCAGCCCGACAATTTAGTCATAATATGCTAATATTTTGGCGTCCATTGACTGTGAAAACAATGAATTTCTAAAGAAATGAATAATGATAATAACATATAATTTGCATAACATGACTAAATCGTCAGGCCTGGCTTAGTCAGTTCTTGACATTAACGCTATTATACTTTTAAATTTCAATTAATTTTTTAAAAATATTTTTCCAGTACTTACTAACCTAAATGTATATATATAGGCCGATAAAATAAATTGCATGCAGGGCTAACAGCGAAAAATTTGAAACCTTAAGATAAAAAAGAACTTATACCCTGATTTTTTTTACTATTTAATTAATACTGATTATAACGATCTATCAAAAAAAATTCCCAGAATTTTCATAAAATACGTTGTGAGAATAGAATTTCCTCATTTTGATGGTTGACATGATGGATCCTTGTCTTTGTATCTTTTCAGCATCGCCTTTAAATAATCAGCTTCTTGTGATTTGATATCTGGTATGGCTGCTATCACGTTAAATATGCCACTGCCTTTTGTCATGAAGTAGTAGTAATCATTTCTAAAGTCATACTCTTTATAACAACCATATTTGTCTTCGTTCTTGTATCTAAAACATAATGCGCGTGCACGAGAAGTCGACTTTAGTCAGAATCTTTAATGTGGTTTTTACATAAAAAAATGAGGACACTTGGCACTGCTGAGTAGGCATTGTAGTCCTTTTATTATGCAGCCTGCGTGCAGGAACGAGAGGGGGATAAAGTACTAAGTATACAGTGGGGCGGGAGAATGATTATGGATCCGACGCCCGGTCCTTCATGATGTTACGGTGAGTCCAACAGGGCAGGATAGTATTTTCAGACGTAAACATTTGTTAAAAGAAGAGAATTTGCGACGAAACATTTGTTAAAAGAAGAGAATCGCCTGCTAAAGAAAAAACTCCAAAAAGAAATTCATGATATTTCACTGAATAAGACTAGCACATGCATTGCATTTGATTTGGATGTAGTTTGTCGTAATCTTATTACTCTGAATACTTACACAATATCGTAAGTCGTGTTATGACTATACGGTTCCTTGAAACTCTCGAGAGCGAAAATTCTGACGTTGTTAATCGGAGGATTGTGAAAAACATATCTTCCCTTGATTACTATGACACAAAGTATAAAAGAAATATCAGCTTCGACAAATTCCAATCTTGATGTAATTTCACCACAGTTTTTCGATCTGCTTCATTCTCATCCTAAGAAAAATTTTAGGGCAATGCGGGTTTGTTGATAGTGACCCAGCGAAGTTATCCTAACTTACGAATACAATGTTTCAAGGAATTTCTTCTTTCAAGGTAAAGCCTGCCAACCAGTTGGTAAATGAGGTTGATAACCTTTACCAGTTGGTAAATTGTTCCACAATATATCACCACTGAAGCCTATACCCGTTTTCAAATATTCCGTTTTCGGAAAAGGAGGATTTAGGCTATGTGCACACGAACGTCGTTTTCGAGCGTTTTGACGGTGTTTGAAACTGTTTTGGCATGAAAACGAATGTGACAACGCTCGAAAACGGTACCATGTGCACATAGTCTAAGCTGTCGTAAATTGTGGTCATGAGGTCTGACAACTGAAACAGTAAATAGTGAGTTTGGGGAGTGCAATGGCAACGGATATTCAAGGAAATGTATGTGTGGATGTGCAATGTATATTCAAGGAAAATACGAGTTAGTATCGAATTGATTTGCCTCTTCAAGTTTCCTTTTTCTCTCAAACAGTTCTTTCCTAATTTTTATTTCCGCTTATAACAAAAGCAATATGTGATAACTAACAACCTACAAAAATCGTTTTTGTTATTCCAATAAATGAGATGATTATCGTTTATTGATAGTATAATTTAGAAAAACGCAACCTTTACTCACCAGAATCGCTGCTGCAGTAATATCTTAAGAAATCAAACATCTTTGTTCTTCCTGAAAAGATTTTGTGGACAGAGTTTAGCTTGCTACTCGAGCGCGCATTTTTATATCGGCTCAAACTAATTTAGGAAATGCTGCATGCCAAATACTGATAAAAATTTTACCTAGATCTTTTAAAACCGTCTAATTTTTTGCATGTATAAGGGGAATATAGTTTATGACAAATAACTCACGGATTAATCAAACTTATTTCATCATCACCTAATCCGTAATGCAACTGCTATATATACGGGCAATTTTTGTCGGCGATTTTTGTTTCTAGCGTATGCTGTTGACTGTTGAGTGAATTATTTACGCAGTTTCAAGGTTTGCGAAGAGCAGTTACTATCTACTCAAAATCTTCATCAAAATCGCATGCGCAGCTTAATTTTAACCGGCAACCACACACTTACTTTTACGACTTGGTTCTACTGTGAAATTCATACCAACAAAAGGTTGCTCTTCGTGTTCATATTTGATTCTTGAAACCAATCTCAATTGGACACATTTGCTTTTACATCGCGATACAAAAGAACCAGGTGTTACACTTCCACAATATATCCTCCAAGAATCTCCATGTGTGTTGCATTCTGGAAGTTTTGCAGTTAAAACAAAAAATTACATCCCGTTGCTCTTTACATCAGGCATTCCGTTCCACCATTTTGCTCCCCGGCCCCTAAACCTGCACCTCATAGACCTAAGGTCCGGAGCTAATTGCATCCTTCCCTCTTGCCCCAGGGAGGCCTTGGAACCATATTAGCTATATATATTAGGATATATTTGTGATATTGTGACGATACTACTTTATTACTAAGACAGAGAAACTAGATATACTTGCATGACTGTGTGATAAGCCTCATGACTGCATGTCATACCTCTTACCATTATCGATGTTAATAGAATCGTACGGATTTAGTTGAAACATGTTAAAATTAAATTTGATTCGATTCCCGCGCCGTGGACACAGTCTCCAAACACACGTCTTGTCCTGAGGATATTCACCCGGAAAATTCGGAGAAGCAATATTCAATCTTTTATTTACCATAAGATTGCCACCGCAATGTTTTAATTCTAAGGACAAAATATATTCTTTCATTTACAACCGTTTTAGCGTTGTTTCCTCAGCCACAAATGTCAGTATAGAGAATTTCGTGTGCGCGGTTTAAGAGAGATATCGTGAATAATACTTACTAACAACGATGTTAATGTCGTGAGAAATGCTACCAGCAGCATTTTTGACTGTACACGTATATTTCCCCCCTGAACTTTTGGAAAGTTTGCGAATATATAGGCTACCGTCATATCCAACATTTGAAAATAGTGGTATACTACTTGAACCTTCAAAGAGCCAGGTGACAACGTGGGGTTTTGTGCCTGAAGCACGACATGTCAGAACAACGCTATTTCCTTCGTCAGCCTCGACCAATTGCTTTGGAACATCAGCCATGCTGGGTGGGACTAGATAAAATAAGGAGAAGAAAGTTCCGAAGAAAGTGATCAGTGACCGTATCTTCTTAAAAAAATGATCAGGAACTTTACGCGGTACTTTATATGAGCCTGTGTTTCTAGTATTATGAATTCAAATGTTTGAATGCGTTTTAAAATCAAATGTTTTTGAGTTCATTTCAAGGGCGGAAACCATCCTTTTCCATCTTATTTTAAACCATATTTTAAATGGGGATTATAAGTGCATGCACGTGTTGATTCACAAAGGCAACTTGATTTGGCTGACTCTAGCAGGAAATGACATCATATAGATGAGCAGAGAATTCTTAGCAATAATACGCGATTTCACCAAATCTTATAGCAAGAACAGAAAATTGGAATTTCCAGTATCCTCCAACTCCCAATCGCGTTGATGAACAATCCGGCGCACGGACAATAATATAACAATCTTGATTTATGTGAATCGCAGAATCAGTCAACCCAAAAAGTTTTTTCAACCCACACTTTCGTCATTTAAAATGGGAAAACGTGTTAAAGGTGATTAACTAAGTTGAGAATAAAGTTATCGTTTATTGTCACATTGAGCATCAATTCGTTTTCTATATTGAATTAATCTTTGTATCATTGGCAATTAATATTATTTAGTCTTTGGGTAGCTCAGCGCGTGGCTAGCTGGTGGTGTAATGAAATTGCAATATTCTGTTTTGGTATGAAAGTTAACGACTCTTAAGGCCCGTTTACTCTTGCAAATTTTGCTGCGATTTTATGTGCGATTTTCTTCATTTAATAGATGTGAAAGAGTGAATTGGTTACTGTTGTTAAATAGGAGCTCTTATACATCAGAGCATTCGTAACCAATTACTAATTCACATCCATCAAAAGAGAAAAATCGCACATAAAATCGCAGCAAAAATCGCCTAGAAGTGTAAACGGGCCTTTAATAGAGCCATGCGTGTCCTGGACAATTTAGTAATCGATGAACCCGTGGGAAAAACCCGACAATTTGGCTATTAGCCACTTGTGCTCATATTTTTGATGCCATATATCCCTGTGTGGTTTCGTAGAATTTTGCCGAAAGCAAAAATACTCTAGATGATTTGTTATGCTATGTTAAAGTAATTTTCACCAAATTGCCTGGAATATTAGCTTACTGGTTATTTTTCTCCCAGCACGCTGCTCGTAGGGCAATGGGAAGGAAAGATGACTACTCTTTGCATACTTTGTTCCGTGACACAAGGCATTAATAAAATATATGCTTTAAAAGTTTAGAATAATAATTTATCATGGAATTACCACAATTTGTCGAGTTTTTCACATCACAATATCCTCTTCGAGCTTGTGCGATCGCGAAATAAGTCGCAAGTCTCGCTGCTGAGAAATGAGCGTCATATCTTGCTTGAAGATTATTATCCAGAAAAAATAAATAGGAAACATTTGGATATACATGAGACAAGCACATAGCTTCGGTACCAAATTGTTTCGTACAGAATCTCTTCGGAACAGACACAAAATTGTCGCGTTTGATGATTTCCTTCACGTCCAAGCAGGCAGAGTATTGGGTAAATATCTGTATATTTGAATCCACCGAAATATTCGTAACATGTCCTACAATAACAACTGGCGCAAGTATTGCCAGTTCAGTAATATCGTAGCTTGGTTTACTCGGATCAGGAGAACATGGTGTGACCGTCTTGAAGAATATACTGCCCAAAATGATCACGAAGTTAGCGCAAATAGATACGCGATAGTTGCTAGCCATTTTTCAGTCTAAGTAACGTTCTAGACTCCTCGACAGCTAGGGACTGTGATAGGAAGTGTCTCGAATTCCGGTGTCCAATCTCAACACAGTCGTTAATTAATGTTTGGCATGCGCTGAGTCAAGGACTGAAATGTGATAATCTCGTAATAATGCCACACCTTTGTCCTCTGTAAGGCATTCGATGACATATATAAATCAGGCAACTCAAAACGTTCTGCAATATATTCCTCATTTCAGAGGGGAAAGCCTGTTAGAAAGTGATAAACAGAAGTTAGAAAATCTAAAAGTTACATTATCGTTCATAGTATAAATATTTAGCATTTATTCATCATGTGCTGCATATTGTGATGTAGGGAGATCTGGAGTGGGGGAAACTGAGTGGAATTGTTCTTGCAGTTGGTCGTTTTGATACTAAATATTTACAATATACTCAATCCGGGATACTACAACAGCTTTTAATCAAATTGTTTTCGTCGATTTCCCTTCCATAAACAAATTAGAAAATGCCTTTGAGTAAAGTTTTATGCTAAACGGCCTTGATATGGAATTTTATGATCACGAGATTGTCTGTTTCATTGCAAGTGCTCTCAGACTCTCTTATCAATTTTGCCTTTTAAAGCAATTCATAAAAGTTTTCTTGGCTAGTTCATCCGCATGCAGGTGTGACCAGTCGACATGTTTTTTTACACGTTAAATTTTGAAGAATTTTATTTGTGCCAGAATGGAAATATGACAGGTTTACTTCATTTTTCATCCTGTAAATATATTTTCTGTCCTTGGCTTGGAAACTTTACAAAAAATTAATCTTGTTGAAAAGCTAGCCATAGCATGACTAGCGAAACTTGGCAACGCGGCACGACTGATTTGGTCTTAATTGATAACTGCGGTTAAAAGGAATCTCGAACCTGTACATGTTCAACCACACTTCTCAGCTGCTAAGCCACATCATGTATATCTAGTTTTAATAAGGCCAGATTGAAAAATAATATAAGATTATGAGCATGCATGATATCTCATAAATCAACCTAATGCGTTTAGCATTTCTGTGACTGTAACAAGCAAATGGAATCAACTCAGTACATGAAACATGAAACATGAAACATGAACTGTGAGTTACATGAATTATTATCATTTTATTATGAATACTATGAACTATTCCAGTTTCAGATGAGTGCCAAAAACACAATATAATCCCCCCTTCTATCTATGTTATATGTTGCCCTGAAGTTGGCAATACAAAAACAGGAACATACAGATCAACTACTTTATTGTTTAATTTGCTTTTCCTATATCTTGCTTAGAGTTGAGATCGATATTATTTAGTATTGAATGTTTCATATTAACCGTCATCTTATTCAACGATAGTCCAATATTGTTTGGGTTTGTTTTAAAAGTTTAGCGTGATCTCGATATTTCCAGGCCGGAATATATAGAGTATAGTTTAAGGCCCCGTCCACACGATGCCGGAAGAATTTGAAAACGCAAGAATATTCTTAAGGTTACGCGTACCGTCCACACGTATTCGGCGTTTTCGCCCACTGAAAACGGAAAAATCTGAAAACGCTCTTCAGAGTGGAATACGGATACGTGTGGACGGATTTGAAAACGATGAAGTCACGTATCAAATCGTTTCCATATTAATGAGGCTTGTTTCCAGTCTGGTGGCTTATGCTCAACTTCATATTGCTATATTAGCATGAAATGTCCAAACAAAGTTCTTATTCTTGTTTTTTTGCGTTGAATTTGGTAGATTTTTGTTTTGAGTTCGACATCTAACCTGTGACACGCGGGCGGAAAACATGAAAGTGTATTTGCGAAATAATTAGAGGTTGTCTGAACAAAGATATTATGTGACCATTTTGGTGATCGTGATAGGACAATTTTGAAATCGTATATATGAGGGGAATCATGTGTACAAATAACTGACGTGTCATTAGCATAACCCGCTTTTTCGCGGGAGACTGGGGATTATTCAATCTTCATCATTATACAAAAAACCGTTACTGAATGGAAAATAATAATGAATGCAGACTGCTGCTGAAATTTTACGGATGATTTTACTGAAAAGTAATGCGACAAGGTCAGATACCAAATGAGTGAATCAGCAGTTAAGATTGAGTTTGCTTATTAACTAACATTGTACCGCTATGCGCTATCGTGTGCCTTAATTACCATATATCACAGAAGCTGGAGAATGTATGACAAGCAAGTCAGCAGAATAGCATCAGCAAAATTGTGAATGTTTTTTTTTTCGTCAGTTATGAAAGTTTGCGCACACGTATGCGGCACTGTACTTTCTAGTACTTTGACGAGCGCCTTCTTTGTCACGTGTTTGGTCACTGAATTTAGCTCCAATTGTTTTTCAACATGGGGTTAAAGTTTGCCGAAAGACAATGGAATTGCCAATACACCTTTCCCTTCTAGCTTTCAAGCGCACAATGCGTGACGGTAGTTGATTATCAAAGTCAATTTGAGTTGTGATTTCGCCATGTTCACGAGCGATTTAGTTTAACAAAGGAGCAAAAAGAATCGGCAAGGTTTTTTTACAACCAAACAAAATCGCTTCTAAGCAGAGCGATATTGCAACTCAAAGTTGCTTGATAATCAACTACCGTCAAGCATTGCGCGCTTAAAAGCTAAAAGGGGAAAAGTCTATTCAGCTTCCATAATCAATGCAAAGGATAATGAAACTCCTCGAAAAATATGCATCTTCTGTTTCAATGAATGCGCTCGACGAATTTAAAGGACGACACTTGTAGAGCGTCGTTAAGCCTGGTTCTCATGTGTCACTAATAGTCTGAGAGATGGCTACTGTCGGTAATCACTAAAGAATGAATTCAATGAAATCCTTTGTTATTTTGAGTAAATTTGTTTCGTCACCGGACACAAACAACACGCTGACAGTCGGTGATATATGAGAAATAGGCTTTGGTGTGGCCAACAGTATCAGTGAAATGTATAATGTATATAAATTCACCTTGCATCACTTGAAAAGATGATTACCCTGAAGTCATATACCAACATTTGAAATAATGCTGATCATCAACAGCACTGCTGTTGCTCCAACTTTCCAAGCGCGGGGAAATCAACACGGACTGGTAAGAAAAAGTGTTTCTTAGATAAAATAAAATATTTTTATATCAAGCGATTACAATAAATTTCAACCTGCTCATTCTATTTGTACGTTTCAATTTTGTGGTAACGGTGTTCAGTCATCTTATAATTGCCTTGTTTATCAACCAGGAATGTTTGACATGTGAAAAAGGAGCACCCGCGTCAGTGTTCTAAGGGTGGTTCGCATTGGGGTATCTATCGAAGAAAATTATTAAATTGGTTTAGTTTGATCACATGATGTGTGAAGAATCTAGAAAAGTCTGCGGCATAAAAGTTTTAGAGTTGGTCGTTTTTACCTTCTAAGAGATCAAACCGACATATGCGCCGACATTGTGTCTCAAGTATACGCAGACTTTTGTAATTGATTCCACCTGCGCACACACAGAGCATATAATATAGAGCAATCACAATTTGGGTTTCCGAATGGCACGTTTGTATCAGATTGCGCGCGCGTCATTGTTTTATAAAAGAAGAAATAATCAGAATTGACAAAGAGCGATGAGGTATTTCACACCCAGATTCAGCCACCAGTTATAATCCTCGTGTTATTTTGACAAGAGAGGGACACCACGCGAAGAATTTAATAATAGTACAATTCGCGTAGACTTGTTGAACGACGCAGCTGTAAGCGATCAACTTATGGCAACAGGCAGGCCGTCGAAACATGACAGCCTTTGGATTGTACTGATAATTCACTCGTTTTAACTTGACATTTGATTGGCCCATGGTGGTCGCCGAATAGTGGCTATAATAGCGAAGAAATTTCAGCGAGTGTTACATCACACCAAAGCTAAATAGAGAAGTGAAAGTTCGGCCGGAGGGGAGCAGGCTGTTGTTTTCATATACGAGGAAATATTGACAAATTAGTGAGAAAGTGTCGAACATTGGAATGATATATTACCGCACAGATGGAAATTCAAGTGAGAAGCAGCCATAAAACACTGCGTGAAAATACTTCTTCAGCAGAAGTGAATGAAATAGGATTAAATGATTTTGACGAGCAGCGTATTGGGAAGAGGAAAAAGCGCAGGTCGCGTTTGACAGGTCTGAGCAAGCAGCGTCAAGCGGCAAACGCGAGGGAGCGGAGCAGAACTCACAGTGTTAATGCCGCATTTAGCACACTCAGGGTGTTAATCCCGACAGAACCGTCCGACAGAAAACTTTCAAAGATAGAAACTTTACGTCTGGCGACAAGCTATATATCTCACTTGGGAACATTGCTAGTGAGTGGCTCACAGTGTGTGAACAATTCCGATGTAAAAGACAGTATCACTGTACCTGTTTCCCCATCAACTGGAAGAATTTGTACATTTTGTTTGAGTCTGCTTAAATCGGCAAGTATTACTTAATTGTACTTTTGGATTTTGCAATTGGCTTTCAGTGCTAGCTTTCATGTAACAGCCTGTATTCGTAAAGATCAGACTCATCAGAGATGCATATCTATGAAAATGCAGATTTATTGCGGTTGGACGGTTATGAGGTTACGAAGCATTTCGGTTTTAGCAATTTTTGAGGTTAGACTGGAGGTATTTCGGTTGTAGCAATTTTTGATTGAATTTTGCATTGAATGCACGTAAGCTTTAGGCCTTTGGCTATGAACCTTCACATAAAAAGTCTCCGCGGAAGAGAGAGTATGTGTTCAATTCTTTGATTTCCTGATTATTCAACACGAGAAAATATGAACTTTTTTCCAAAAAAACGAAGCAAACATTAATGAATGTTGCACCAAAGAGCAAAACCACAGCTAAACTTTTTCCCCCCGCTCTAATGAATTGCAAGGCTCTTTATAATCTGGCTGGCGCACGAGATATCGGGAGGAGCGCGCTATTTACTTATTCAATTACATTGTGTTATCTCTTAACACCAACATCGGTTCATCGCCAGATCATAATTTGCTTTCTGGTGGCATTGCGCCACCACGCAAAAAACTAGCTACAATACATCATCAGCACGTCCTCGTACGGAGACCAAAGTCGATTGAGGTCTTCCGAACTGTGCGATTAAATGCATAAACACTGCGCATAATTTTATAAACAAGACGTACCAGGTGTTTATGAAGCGATGAGATGATATCATATCATGGGGTAAGTATAATCCTTTCGCGCACGATTGCGATAATTGATAGTCTGATTAATGCGCTTATGCGTGATTGTGTTTTTCTTAGCCTCGCATTTGTAAAACCTGGCTCTGGTTCGCGCGCAATTCCCGGCACATTTTGATGTGCTTCCGCGCGGTCCCAACACAAAGATGCAAAAAATGTCGCGTATATTTCAATGCTCCTGAGCGAAATTTTTCAAAGCGCGGCGAGGGTGGAGCACTTGCGCAAATAGCCTGCTGGATCGTCGTCATCTGGACGACATCTGCGTGTAAAGATATGACCTTTTCTGGAGGGATCAAAGTAATATTGGGCTTTAAATCAACCTAAAAGAGAATTCCAAACTGCTCTTATGATTATCAACACCAAACCAAAATAAACTTCATAATCCTATTAGTCAAATACGATGTATAGGGACAATGAATTTTTGATGGACATGTTTGAACTGGACAAGCAATGCCGTGTGTTCCCGCGTTATGAGTAACAGCCATGGTTTACACAGCGCACAATTAAATGAACACTATCTGCTTAGCTTGAGCTCATATTCATTATTCTAATTCATTGATATGCCGAAAGAGCATTGAGGTCATTCTTTGAATAGTGCGAAATTTGTTGATGACCCAATGGTGTGGACAATATGCATGATAAACTGCGTTCGTAAATCACCTTCAACGAAGATTGTACGAGTGTGTACATATGTACATAAAAGAACGTTCTCAGCAAAACGTTTTGAATGACATTTAATCATTGTCAGTTTCATCTTTTCCATATATTGTTCTTTGTTATTACAGTTTTGTCAATATGCGTCATACCTATTTAGGCGTTCTCTAATTTGGCAATTAAGAATCACCTCGATAGTGTTATTTGGTGTGCATTATCAAAACCATACACGAATAATTTTTATCCATACTGCGATGTGGTGAAAACGACTACTTTCAATGCAACAATCAATAAAAGTGATTTTTTTCACGATGCCTACAATTGCAACGCTCCTCAGTCAAACCAGTCTTCGTAAGCCAGTTATATCGAAAAAAAGAAAAGATTAATATACAAATATGATTTCTGTATTTAACGACATCTTCTAAGATCTGAATTAATCAGTCATGCCCATTCTGATCCTTAATTTTAAGCACTCAGTAACCAGCTCAGGTTTTTTTTGCGAAACATTCATAGTTTTTAAAGTCGTTTTTGTTTGACTTGTCGGTGAGGCTGATGTTACTAAACCGACCTGTCTAAAAACGAGTTGTTACATTGGCATATTCGCGATGTTACCTCGCGTTTCATTAGTCCAGACATGTTTTTTGACAGCAGGGTTGTTCGGACACCCACGAATTTTTAGATAAAGTGCCGAAAGCTGTTTTAGTTATTAATTAAATTTCCGATTGGAAAGTTGAACTGATCATTTCAAGCTAAATAATCAGTGATTCAGAGCGCGAAAAATCAATGTTGCATATCTATAATCCGGGATACTGAGATTCCACGGTTTCCACCATAAAACGATATCAGCCGCAGTGATAATCGCTTACAATGTTCGCTGGCGAGGTTATAGCATGGCTAATATATACATTATATTTTTCATTAAGAGTGATTATATAGCGCTGGGGATATATGAGAGATATATAGCTTTTATATGAAGTTGTTGCATGTGGGCACTGGCCCTTAGCCCAGTCACAGGCACTGCCCTTGTTTTCTGGTGAATACATTCGGCAATAAAGAAGACCGTAAAAGCTACAACACTGATTGTACATATAGCATATATATATTCATGAAAGAACCACGAAAGTGAAACAAAGTTTCATGAACCGCCATTCATGTTACCGCGATGAAGGGCTATACATAGGTCTGAACATATAGCTTGATTATGAGCGGAGATTCCTACTGATGATATACGTGAATTTTGAATATAACTTCTAAGTAAAATCAGACCTCTCTTTGGAATTATCTAAGACCAAAAATTATCACCAGATTTTTGTTGGAAAATACAATCGAAAAACAACAACAGAATATTGCACGAAAGATTACAATATCAAGACATCAAAATCCATAGGAGGGATTCAGTCATTCGCTGTGCAGGCCTGCAGGGTGTTTATTCAAACGATGGTCATTAGCACTCAATATAAAATAAGTCTAAAATCATCGCTCAACCGTAAGTATGTGATTTATTTTAGGAGAGACCGCCATTCTGAGGTGGTTTGAATATGAAAACAAAGTGAAGAAGACGGAAGATAAACAAGGACTGGAACTGATCTTATTTGAGGCGTGACGTCACTCCAGCATAAATCGCGAATCACGTGCAGGCACTGGCCCTTGTTTCCCGATGAATACATTCGGCAATAATGTAGACCGTAGCTACAACACTGATTGTACATACAGTATATAACTCATGTATTACACTGATGCTGTTGCCTTTTCGAATTATTGGATTGTGCATGTAAAGTGACTCAGAATCACTTAATATTGCAGGTCATTTACAGCATGTTGATATCTTGCAAGAAAAATCTTCCAAGACTGAATATACTCTTTAGCTAAACTCGATTTCAAAGAGTAAAAATAAAATTTTGAGGCCGAATTTTTCAACGCAGTGTGCTTTTTCATAATTATTTTTCGAAACCCTTAATTAAAAGAGCTGGCAATCTCTTCGTGTTGTGATTTTGTCATAACTCAGTGGCGGATAGCCTAAGCTTCCATGCATAGGTCGAGTGATTTTGAAACAGAATACAAAAGACGCTGTATATAATCTCTAGTGAGCCATTTGACCTGGGGCCGGTTGTATCAAGCCCGTCAGTTAGCTTAAACGGTGGTTAAGTTCAAAATAGAAAGCAAGTTTATCGTTTTATTTAACAAGCGAACTAAATGTTTTTGACTTTAATACAAAGATACTGTTTACAACTACATATTCAGTGCGTAGAATTCAAGTTGACTCATTCAAGAGAGATGTAAGAGTGTTATTTAATTTTGACTTATCCACCGTTTAAGCTAAACGGGCTTGATGCAACCGGCCCCAGGCCCATATGAATTATCAACAGAACATGCATGCATGAAATGGTCCTTATGAATTGAAGAACATAATATAATAGTTTAGACACTTAACAACGAACTAGATAAGATTAAATTAGATATAGGATTTACCTATGCGCACAGCTATTCCTGGCTACGTGTACGAGTTGTTTGGTGTCGAATTGCGAACAATCTTCGTCTCCGAGTTAGTGCCGTCATACAAAACGTTAAATAAAACTGATATGTTTTTGATATACTGAAATCCAAGTTATATCACACACGCTGATATATCAATCTTCATTTATTGCCAAAACGATGACATTCGGGCAGGTATATAGTCAATTATACCACCAGTTTTTTAACGCAAAGTCATTGTTCCTCAATCTGGTTCCATTTAATATCTAAGTCGAGGCTGCAGGGAAGAGAGACTATCTGATATCTGCATTTATAGTTCTCTAAGAGATGCATGAAATTTAACCATATTATATCATAAGACATAAAACATTTCAGACTGTACAAACTACACTTAAACTTTGACCATTGAGTTAAGATCATGCTTTAAGATGCGCCAAAGAGAACCCTGGGTACGAAGTTGAAGATGCACGGTAAGTGACAAGAAAAATATGTAATGAGTGCGTACAAAACGAAGAAAGATTTGGATTCTGGCATGGAAAATTTGTACTATTGATTAAATTTCGTGATTTTAACAAAGGAAAGACAAGTCTTAACCAAAGCTTAACGTCTTAAAATGTCATTAGCTCATTGTGGCATGACTGTCTTTCAATTTGTTTGCAAATACCCCAAAAATGTCATTCTTGTTTTTGATGGCTTGGATGAACTTAAAGCTGATGAAGAGTGTCTAACAGATGAAATGATTATAAACAGCCCTGACAAAGAGTGTCATATATTTCTTATCCTTAAACAGCTGGTGAAAGGCAAACTATTGCCTGGAGCCACTGTGTTAATCACATCTCGACCTACAGCAGAAGATATTTCAAGAATGGTTGCAGGTCATACACGGGTTCTTTTATACCTGAACGAAGGTTAAATGTTTTTAACAAAACCGAACTGATTCTTTCAATATTCTAGGAAAAATTTCGCCCACACCCTTTTAAACACTAATGGTGTAAGTAATTAGGGACATTGCGACACTTATCTCCAATCCTTCCCAGTTTACGCAGGGCCCCCTCCCCTCCTCGTTTTCCTGATGTTTGATATTTGCCAAGAATACGCACACTGACAGTTTCGAAAAAAAACAAAGTCACTGCGACAAAGACAGTACAGGCCCGTCGGAACAAAATTTGGATTGGGGGTTGGGGCGGCGTCAATTGGGAAGGAAGGGCGTGGTCCACAGCTTGAGTGAAAGTGAAACAAACTATCTTACAAACTAGGGTTAAATTCCACCGGCACGGTATGTAAAAATAATTGGGGGACTGCACACCCCAACCCCGACGGGTCCGCAGCAAGACAGTCTTGAAAACTTGACCGCAGTTTGCCAGTGAAATATCTCAGGTATAAGTGGGATGCAGTTTGTGATGTGTGTAAGACCTTTGTCCAGTTTTTATCTCGAGGTCAGAAACACATACATTATTCTTGGAAGTGGTCAGTTTTAACCAATCATATGAGTCCTGGAGGGTGTTGGTGCAGAATAACAACAGTTGCTGGTTACAATGTGATCAAATCTGATTTCCTGGCAAAGAATCATTGAAGTACTCCTTTACATACATGGATAGTTGCTTAAAACAGATTCCTCGTAACTGTTACAATACGTTCAGTTCAGTAGTTCTTGCTTTGTTTGTAGCAATTGGTGTTGTTCTGGTTGGAATCGCGAGTGGTTACGAGTCGAAATCAAGTCTAGAATGTGACCTCACGAGGTCTTTATTCAAGGGGAAATACATTGAAACACAGTGTCGTCTTCAATATGCCCAAGAATTCCTCCCTTCGTTATCTCTCAATGTCCAGATTGGGTTAAGTTTTGGACTTGTGGTTGTATGTAGTGTCGTGTACGGTTACCTGGTGAGACACAGAGTGGACTTCTTCGCAAATCCAAACACAACGACGAACGGGGGCGTAGAAGAAAACCAGCCATTGTCTGGAGCATCGCCAGCGGCACCAGTGGCGTATCAAGGTAGCAATCGTTATTTTGTTTTCATGGCTTACATAATCCATTTAATCATTTGTCGTATAATACCACTGACAATATTATCAGCATTTCTCGTAACCACGTCAAATTTTCCGACCCATTTTGAATGTCTTTTGCCCAATATGAGAGCAACAACTAGTGCTTTCCATGAGAACGTTACAGGGTCAACTACGAATTCTTCATTTGTGGACTGCACTTATGCAATGGGTGAAAAGAAACAACAAGTTGTTGTCGGCTTCATCACGATAAATTTTCTCGTCGATGCAGTGACACTCGTTGAGATTGTTTATCTGTTGTGGTCGGCATGGAAGAGACCAACTTTCCATACTGATCAGGAGTTCATTAGCGTGTACCTTTTACAAAAACGTTTAAAAATAACTCTAGAGATAAACCGAGAGTTAATGAAAATGATTCGAGAAAGTCAATGCGAAAATTTATTTGACGTACATGACGACTTTGGAAGAGAAGAATTGTCACGTCGAAAACTGGAGGAAATCTATATCAATGTTATAATTCAAGATGGAAGGGAACGTGCCTACAATCCCAGAAGAAAATTTGAAAGTAGACATCAGATTTATGATGTTCAATTGGAAAAACCCCCTAATTCAAGAATCCTCAAGAGTCCAGCAGAATTATTTCAAGCAGAAAAATTTGATAAGAAAGAACCTAGGACTGTTCTTGTAGTGGGCAGACCTGGAATTGGAAAAACTCTACTGACAAGAAAAATATTTCACGAGTGTCAACAAAACAAAGAAAGATCTGGATTCTGGCATGGAAAATTTGTACTGTTGATTAAATTTCGTGATTTTAACAAAGGAGAAACAAGCCTTCGAGAAATATTAAGCGAGGCTCATGGTCTTGATATGTCATTAACTCATTGCGGCATGACTGTCTTTCAATTTGTTTGCAAATACCCAAAAAATGTCATTCTTGTTTTTGATGGCTTGGATGAACTTAAAGTTGATCAAAAGTGTTTAACTGATGAAATTATTATAAACAGCCCTGACAAAGAGTGTCATATATTTCTTATCCTTAAACAGCTGGTGAAAGGCAAACTATTGCCTGGAGCCACTGTGTTAATCACATCTCGACCTACAGCAGAATATATTTATAGACATCAGAAGTTTGATTGGGAAGTGGAGATATTAGGTTTTAATGAGGAACAAATAAAAAAGTATGTTGAAAAGTTTTGCGATGATGACATGAAAAGTTCAGAGATATGGCAGATAATTAAGAGTTCCCCAGAACTATTAAGCTTCTGTTACATACCAGTCAACTCCTATATAGTGTGCTTGACATTATATGACAGCATTGATTTTGGTGAACAAATGGTGGATGGAAACTATAGTAATATTCCCAAAACAATAACTGAACTGTACAAAAGAGCTATAAAGATTTTGCTGTTCAAACACAATTCAAAATACAGGAATAAACCAGTAGACAAAGATTATCTGACTGCGGAACTTCCAGAGCTGCTTCAAAAGGACCTGGACAAGTTGAAGGGAATTGCAAGGAATGGAATGGAAGGAAACCAGTTAGTTTTTGAGTTTAAAAGCAGTGATGAATCTGTGGCTGGCTTATCTGATTCTGGTGTGTTCAATCAGTTGAAAGACAAAAGACGAAATATCTTCTCTTTTCTTCATCTTACAATTCAAGAGTTTCTGGCTGCACTACATGTGGTTGATGATATCAAAAATGTTGAATCATTTTTGGAGGAGCACATTTATAAACCCAGGTGGCATTTGGTGATCCAATTTGTAGCTGGGTTACTTGGAGATAGGATGAGAGAGTTAAGGTATGCCTAATTTTTCTTCAAATTAGATAAAGTAGCCAGTTATATTGTATCTAGTCACAACTCAATTTGATAGCCATATGCATGTAAGGGAATCTTCTTATATTATTTATTCACTGTTGTATCATTTAGTCTATATAATCTTGTATTCATTCACATTTAATTATTTATCAGGTCAGCAGGGCATGAAGACAATGAAGTGATTGAACGTATATGCAAAAGGTAAAAAATTGTTATAATTTATAGGCGTATTGGGTAGTATTGCATTATTATAGCTGATGCATGTTGCTAGCTGGCATCAATTTAAAACTCAACAAAAATCCGCAACAGCTTCCTTACCTAGCATTAGTGACATTTAGAATTTTCCATGAAACCTCTGCCTGTTGTATAAATTATGAATGATTCTGATTAGCCAATTCTGTGAAAGGTTGTTGTACCGGGTGGTGCAAAAAAAAGTTAACCTGTTTGATTGAGTATAACTTCAAAATTAAAATAGCTATTACATTAAAATTATGTTTGTTATATTCTCTAATCAGGGCCGTAACTAGAACGATAATTGGGGGGGTGTTTATTCATATATTCAGTTCTGCCCGACGGGTTTCTTTTGTAAGTGCAATAGCTTACAATAGAAATCCGTCGGGCAGAACTGAATATATGAATAAAAACCCCCCAATTATCGTTCTAGTTACGGCTCTGTCTCTAATGTCTAAATTAAATTTTGATATATAGTATGACGTTTTTCATGCAGTTTTGACCGAGATATCGCGGTTCAATTTAAATATGCATCTTCGAAAAGTGGAAGAATTAGCTAAAAATGGCATATTAAAGTGAGTTGACAAATCCTAGTATTTTATCACAGGTATTCGTCTGTTTCAATAAAGTTTAAATAGACGTATTTGACAGATGGATAAGGTCTTTTTATTTTCTGTGTTATGACATGTTGGAAAGCGTTAAAACATTGAAATTGGCTATTTTGGTTTAGACTTTGTTCCAAATATTTTATGTCCCATGGGGGATAGAATTCGTTCGGTAACGAACAAATTTAAGAAACAGTTTGGCATGAATTTTGCTCAGTTGTTCTTTTGTTAATATGCCTCGTTTAACGATACAACAGCGGGTTTGGGTTTGCATAGAATATGCCAGGGTTAACAATGCTCTAGAAGTCATACGATGATGGCCAATTTATTGGGATAACATGCCTCCCCAGTCCCCCTAGTAGACAAACCGTTATTAAAACATTTAGAAAGTTTAATTTTGGCGAGAAGGGACTTGTCATAATCTAAATAAAGGACAGAGCGGTCAAACAAGAACGGCGCGAACAGCTGAAAACATCGAATTAGTTCGACAGTCCCTCACAGAAAACGGTGAACGATCTTC